ATTTCTCGAAGAGAAATTAGGAAAAATTGTTGAGAATTTAATTAAAGGATCCCGTTTCATCTTCAAAGTCTTTCGAAGGTGTCAAAACCAACCGTCACACCATGATATCATAGAAGTTTTTTTAGGTGTGGGAGTTTTAAGGGCCTTGTTCGGGTATTTCACTCAAATATTTTTCATGTGAAGAAATGAAATAATACCATTCATATCACAAGTATTCATAATACGAATATATAAAATGAAGTTATCTTATATGACAAGTGGATTATTGTACCCGGTTCTTTTATAAAAACAAGGGGAACGGCCAGGAGACTGGGAGCCCTGCCCGGGAAGCCAATGTGGCCATACGGACGGGGTCGCCAGACTCCTGATCAGTGGTAGAAATAAATAAGGTGAGGGGAACTAAAACCCCTTGGGAAACTGAGCGAAACCTCATTGTAATCAGCCTACCTCTGGTAATGCGTCGCTCTGCCAAAAGTGACCAACTCTTTCCCTGCCACTCGTGGACACACACATGAATGAAACCAATCCCTCAATCTAAGGCGGTGGCTGGGGATGAACAGAGATGACCACCCCAATCTAACGCTTGGAATGGGGCTGGACATAGCAAATCACCTCCAACAGCAAGGTCAGCTGATTACCTGATTAATAACAAGATGGATAAATATGAGTTTATTCTCGGACTGTTTTTTGACCTCTCGCGTGCCTTCAATAGCCTCAATTTTGATTTTATATTGTCAAAATTATCAGCAATAGGGCTACGAGGTAATAAACTTGATTGGATTCAGTCTCTCCTACAAGGTCGAAGACTCATTGTGAGGGTGAATAATGAAATTTCATACGAATACCTGGTTAAATCGGAAATACCTCAAGGAAGTGAGCTCGGTCCTCTGATTTTTTTATTATTCATCAATGATCTACCTGACTACATAAGTTACAGCGAAGTCTCCATGTATGCAGACGACACATCTATAATCGTATCTAGCATTAACGAAGATGAAGTGATATTTAAAACAAAAAAGGTCCTTCACGAATTCGATGAATGGTGTCACAAAAATCGTCTAATGATGAACCGCTCAAAGACAACACTACTAAGATTCCACAGACCCTGTGTAGATCCCATAATCGCCCAAAATATCACATTTATACAATATAGATTCCTATTCAATTCCAAATGCAATTTTTTAGCCACAGTTCTAGATAAAACTCTCAGCTGGGACGAATACGTTAACAGCATTTGCTCTAAACTAGATAAACAGTACTTTGCCATAAATGACCTGAAAAGCTGCCTGAACGAAGAAGGGCTAATGGCAGTCTGCTATACCCTCGTCTACTCGACCATTAGTTACAACATCTTAGTCTATGGGCTAGCAACTTCCAGTAACAGAGTTTTTCTGGCACAAAGAAGAATAATCCATGCTATGTTCAGACTAGACTATCGTGAGTACTGCCGAGAAGTATTCAGAACAAAGCAATTATTACCTTCCACAGATATTCATTTATATGAACTATTAACTTATGTTTACTAAAATAGAAATAACTGTGAGCTTAATATCGACATTCATGGCTACCAAACACGACAAAAAAATCAATTCAGATTGCAAAAGGTGAAATACTCTAGTTATAAAAAATCACCAGATTACGCTGGTATGCCAAACGATTTGAAAACTATAACAAGCCTGGCCAGATTCAAACATAATCTTAAGACGTTTTTGATCACGAATACATTTCATAACATTCAGGAATTTTCCTCTCTCTGCAGTATGAACTGAGATGAGCTGATGAACGCTTTTTATGCTATCGAAATTCATGCACTTTAAACATTTACTATTCATCATAATGCTAACCTGCACTTGTATGTTGTCCTATTTGACATTTTATTACTGTTGCAATATTATTTTTCGATTGTATTCTTGAGTTTTATGACCTGTCAACCCGATGTAAATTGATGATTTATAAAAATGTATGTCTGTCACTTCCTGCTGCGGACGCCAAGAGCTCCGCCTTGAATAAACACAAGAAACCGGCTGCCCCTGCAGGAAAGCTCCCTCACTTGTGAAGAAACCGCGCAACGACAGTAATGTCACTGTACCTTCCAAAACCTTCGCGGAGGCCACCGTGAAACACCTCCAGGTTGCCAAAGAGTGTGTGCTCGGCGAGTCTTGGCCTACACCTGCCAATGTAAAGGAGATGTCTCCTAGTGACTTGGTCATCTTCCTGGAAAGGACAGGATGAACTATGACCTAGGAGGACAACTCTTCGGGAGGATGAACAATGGGTCCACATGTGGCCTAAGTACTGTGAGTCTACACTCACCCTCCCTACTATACAGATACCAAAACACCTGGGCTGAAAAATCCCGGGCCTAAGAAAGAAAACGCAATTTTTTGTTCCAAATCATGCAATTGTGCCATTGTTTTCATTGATTTGTGGCACTATGCATTGTATTGATGAAACATTACTTTCTTTTTCCTCGAACACTCCTATAACGCTGTAGGTATAATATTCACTGTCGATGGTATTTCTCTTCTCAAAATAGTCGATGAATATTACACCGCGCACATCCCAAAATACCGAGGCCATAAACTTTCTAGCCGATTGTTGTGCTTTCTTTCCCTGCCACTCGTGGACACACACATGAATGAAACCAATCCCTCAATCTAAGGCGGTGGCTGGGGATGAACAGAGATGACCACCCCAATCTACCGCTGGACATAGCGGACATTACTTTCTTTTTCCTCGAACACTCCTATAACGCTGTAGGTATAATATTCACTGTCGATGGTATTTCTCTTCTCAAAATAGTCGATGAATATTACACCGCGCACATCCCAAAATACCGAGGCCATAAACTTTCTAGCCGATTGTTGTGCTTTCGGGCGTTTTGGACGAGGTTCTCCAGTTACTCTACATCACTCAGATGATGATCGTTTTGATTCCGAAGTAAAGCAATGGATCCACGTTTCATCCATTGTGACATATCGAAGCAAAAATTTCAATTTTTTATGTTTTTATGTTTCTGTGAATGACGTCAAAATGTGGTCATAATAAAGTTTCAGAAAGTGCTTTCTACGTCGCCATTTTAGACTGAAATAGCACTACTATTTCAGTAAGAATAGAAGTTTATATCTTATTAGATGAAGCTCATAATAAATTGGTCAGAGTGAATTCATTATTAATTTTGGTTTTCTTGAATGAAAACAGTGAAATATTATTTTACGTTCAAAGAAAATACCTTTTGATCACAGTCGATAATTCATATCACTCTTCTTCCACACTCTCGTAAAGATAAACGAATCATTCTGTTTATGTGATTACTAGTGATTCAAAAATCAATATTCTCAAAGGTTAACTGCTTTCTTTTTTTTTTGTGAAATTTCAAACAGATTCTGTGAGGAATAATTTTAGGAAGAAGAATTTGAGATGGTTTTTGAATCACAACCCAATCTCTTTTGCTATGTGATGTAGTTTGAATAGCCATACTGATAGACAACATCCTGTAGGAGGAATTGACATAAAAAAAGGGAATGAAGTGTAGGAGAATTAATTAGTATTTTTTCTATGTCCTTATTCTCCACGAATCATAGTGGAATATTCCTTTTCAATTCATTGTAATCGATTACTATCAATTTCATGAAATATAGACAAAAAATGAGAGCAAGTCAGTTGTGACAATATATGGTAGCTTGGAAAATTTCAAATTCTTACAAAATCCATTGGGTGGTAACGGGAAAATAATTCAACTGAATAATTTTTCAATAATTTCCAATTTTATTTTTGGAACATTTTGAAGTTATTTACATTAAAATAGTTACTTACTATATAACCGAAAACAAATTTCATCTCAGTCTCTCGGTTTACTTCATGAAAAACACCAGTTGAGAAAAAAGTTTGGGCAATATTTCAATATGAGTTTCAATAATTCAAAAATATCCCAACAGGATACCTACTCAAATTGGTTCATATCGAACTATTTTCTGGTCGAACATTTTGTATCTTGAACATTCAAGATTGTTCTCCAAAAATCGAAATCAACTGGAGTTTCTTCATTACAGAAGACTTAATATAAATACCAATAATACAAACGTTTAAACCATTTCAAATTCCATCAACTCTAATCTATTTTGCTTTCTACCAAATATAATTGTGTTTTTTTCTTTTTCAAATTTTCATATATTTTCAACACACCACAGTCAAACATTCCAACAAAGACTCCATTTCATGTTACAAAAATGTCAAAGGAGCAATTTAACTATAGTGTGCTATAAAAACTTCAAAATGACAGACATCCTATTTTTCATTTTCGACACCAAGATTATTTTTCAAATAGTGTCACTCAACACAATCGATTCCGAATTTGCCATATATATTCTCAATTGAAATGATAATTTTATAATATACAAGATAACAGGAATGTTTTCATTTAATCACCGAAGAACTAATATTTTTATTGAAAATTTTCATCATTTGTTGTGAAATTAAACATATTATTGGCACACTATTGATGGAAATGTACTGCTAAGATATGTATTGCTAAGAAATATGTATTTCACGCATCTGTATTAAATATATATTGTATTGAACCAAAGTCATTTTTGTGAAGGAGAATCAGTTTTGTATCAACCTTTTTTTGGGTATTTTCACTTTCCACAATCTTAACGTTTCAGAGGCCATAATCCGCCTCCGTCTTCAGGAATGGACAAAAATTCAAAGGTATTTGTAGTTATTCCTTTGCTGATTATTTATTTCTTAACGTCTTCGTCAGATATCAAAGGAGATTGTGGGAGGAGAAAATACCCTAAAAAGGTCGATAAAAATATAAATTACTAGTAAAACCCATTCAAATTTATAAATGACTATGTTGCTGTATCGCTGCTGTTCCATTATTTTGACAGAATCACGATCAACGAACTTAGACATGCGCAGCGTTATAGAACAGTGCTTTCAAAAAATTGTTCCACAGCGCCATCTACTAGCGAGTTACAAAAAAATTGATAGCCCATAAACCTTTTCTATGAAAAATAACGTACACATGTCAAGTTTCATCACGATCGGTGATGAAACTTGACAACAGATCTGGGTAATTGATCTGTAATTTTGAAGTCGAATGATATAAACACTGCGACAACTCTATCTCCACATCAACCACAAAACAAGTATTTTATGCCCAAATCAAAGATCGCAACTAACTTCCAGAAAAATCTATTTTTTTGGTAGAAGCAAGAAATAAAAAATAAATTGCTTATTCATTATATCACGTATCACGAAAGTTATCATAAAGAAGTAATTTTGAATCGTATCACCTCACAGATAAAAATTGAAGGTAATACGACTCATAAGGCGTTATATAATCAGCTGTGGTTGTTCATGTTTTCTTTGGGAAAATTCATTCGGATAGAATCCTACAATTGATGAAAAAACCCAAAAATATTGTCATAGAAAGGCTGTGAGATGAAAACAGAAAACCTATGTCATTGAAACTGTTTCATTCTGGAAAAACTTGCCTCCTTATATATAACAAATTATCATATTATTCACCTCAGTCGCATATTATCTGTTTAAAAAAGTCAACAGTAAAAACACTTGACGGAAAACAATCTAGCATTCAACGGGAAAGTTGATGATCTTCATCTGTAGCATCTCATCGGCTTTTGATTTTGACAGTGCTCTCTTGTGACGCTAAGTTTCTGAGAACATTCGATAGAGGGCGTTCTATCAACAAATGTACGACTAATCCGGCTGCAAAGGCTTGTATTATATCGGAGAATATGGACTTCCACTGAAAAAAAAAACAATATATTATCAGCTGATAAGTACATCGAAAAGCTGCTGGAAGCAGCATCTGGATTGAGCAGACGAACGCATAATGCGACGCTTGCGTCAAGCAATACGAAGAACACGTCTGGTATTGTGAAAAAAAGATCTACGGCTTTTGCATCACGGCAATGCAACTGTTCACTCGTCACTGTTGTTCGTAATCATGCCTCGGCCACCATATGTACTAGATTTGGCCTCCTGTAACTTTTTTCTGTTCCGGTAACTGAGAAGACCCATGAAAGGACGGCGTCTTGTGACAATTGTGAAGATAAAAACAGAATCTATGAGAGAGCTTGATGATACCTCAAAAAATGTATATCAGAACTGCTTTGAGAATCGGAAAAAAAACGCTGGAACAAGTGTATTATATCTGAGGAAGACTACTATGAAGAAGACAAGATAGAAATTGATGAGTGAATAACATTCTTGAGAAAAAATGACAATTCACCTTATTTCCAATTTCAAGTATCTCTCTGTATCTGTAGAGTAGGGAGGGTGAGTGAAGGCCCAAAGCACTCAGACAATATGTGACCCATTGTACATCCTCCCGAGGAGTTGTTCTCCTAGGTCATCGCCCATCCTGTCGTTTCCAGGAAGCTGGATAGGTTACTGTGAGACATCTCCTATAAATCGGCAGGTGTAGGCTAAGACTCGCCGAAAACACACTCACTCTCTTATTGACGATAATTTCGGACACTCGTATAGGACATGCCTGACAGTTTCATCTTCCTATTCACACATCCTGCATATAGGTGCACTAGCCCCATATTATGGAGGTGTTTCCTTAATTGACAGTGCCAAGTCAAAAATCCTACTGTTAAACGTAGATTTTTCCTGGTCATCGCCAGATATTTCTTCGTCGCCACCTTCCTGGCAAAATTGTATTCTTCGATTTCATCCCATCTCTTTAAGGATTGAGCATGGGTGTGACATTCGGCTAGTTCCGCAGTTGTCGAAGACAACAGGCCGTAGGTGCTACTGGGTCCTGAAATTCTTAGTCCAGTCGCTTCCTTGGCTAAAGAGTCGGCAACGCGATTACCTTTAGTCCTCAGGATAATGCTATCATGTACCGAGGCTTTGGCTATTCAATTTCAAGTATTTCATGTAGATTTTCAACAGATTTGACTTGGGTTTACTGATTACTACATAGGGACACATTGCAAAAATAAATTTGAATAGACAATATTGTGAAATTAATTTTCATATAGCTGAAAATTGTTTTATATAAACATATATTGTAAAATAATAGATAAGGCAAAATAGTAAAATCAATTCAGGTTGGTATACCTGTATGGGTGGTACGTGAAACACGTGTCGAGGTGTTGAAAATAACGATTTGGTGTTGGGAAAAAACTCCAGTAATATTAATTACTACACCAAAGGTTCCAAAAAGTGCATCATGAATTCAGCACTGTGACATTATTTTTTCATTCTCCAGATCAGGGATTCCCAACCGGTGGTACGCGTACCACCAGTGGTACGCGGTAACGTTTCAGGTGGTACGCTTGAGTGATGTGAGCAACATGCTGTTAATAGCAAACATGACTCAGCTCACGGGTCGCTAGAAAAACGAAATAACCATAACCCAGTGAACGACCTGACATCTTTGTTTTTCTATTATATTGGAATTTATAATTCCTAGGTAATAAAACAATGAAACACTTTAGGAATTCCACCTGGGAATCCCCAGATAGTACAACTGTAAACAAAGGGTGTTCATTTTTTACCTGTGTGTCTTTAAAAGGATTGTCTTTTACTTTCAAATAGCATTACAGGTTCGTTGTGGGTGTTGTGATTAATTCTGATTCCGTATGAGAGAACTGAACTATGAAACGATATTTGACGTCCTTTTCCACTTCAAAGGATTGTGCTAGAAAACCTAAATTACCGGCCAATCGTAAATACGATGAAAGCTACTTACAGTACGGTTTTAAAGTGAAGCCAGGGACTGAAACCAGTGACATTTCTATTCCTCAATGTATTGTATGTCTCGAAAAACTTTCGAACCAATCCATGAAGCTTTCTTTACTGATGCGACACCGAAATACTAAGCACCATGATCTGAGTGGTGAGCCCATTGAATTTTTTAAAAGAAAATCCAATTTTTTAAAGAAAGAAACCCAATGTTTGACGAAGTTTGTCAATACTGATACTAACTTAATGAAGGTGTCATACCTCGCTAGTTTGAGAATTGCAAAAGATGGAAAGCCTCACACAATAGGTGTGGATATGCCGTTGTGGATATGATTCAAACCGTGTTAGGAGAAAAGGCAGTCAAAGAAATTAAAAAATACCTGATTCAAAGATTTGCCCCTCAATTCATGTGTTCTGCCCATCAGGACGCCCACAAATTTCTTTGATATCTTTCAGAAGGTTTACATGAGGACCTCAACAGAATCACTGAGAAACCTGAACCGATCTTGACTGAGATTGACGAAAAATTGAGCGATAACGGAAAAGCACAAGAGTCCTGGCAGAGATATTTCAATATGAACAACTCCAAGATTGTAGACTATTTCGTTAGTCAATTAAAATCCACTATGAAGTGCACACACTGTGGACACTCATCAGTAACCTTTGATCCTTTCTGGGATTTATATCTTCCCATACCACAAAGAACTGGCCAATTGAGTTTGTCACATAGCTTGGATTCTTTCGCAAGAGAGGAAACTCTGGATGGAGATGAAAAACCAGTGTGTTCGAGGTGCAAGCAAAGGAGAAAATGTACAAAGTCCTTATCAATCTATAAGTTTCCCCGTATTTTAGTAATTCATCTGAAAAGAGTCTCTCCAACGGAAATATTCAGAGGCAAATTGATTGTTTCCATTGACTTTCCTTCAGATGGATTAGATATGAGCAGTTATGCAACAGACAATGTGGCTCGTTGTCGTTATAATCTATATGCACTCTCAAATCACAGTGGGACTACTTACAACAGACATTACACAGCATATTGCAGACACCCATATAGTGGCACGTGGCATGAATACAAAGATTCACACGTGTTCCCAATTTCGCCAAAATCACTTGTGAGCGATGAGGCATATGGAGATTCGGANATTTTTTTGGTAGAAGCAAGAAATAAAAAATAAATTGCTTATTCATTATATCACGTATCACGAAAGTTATCATAAAGAAGTAATTTTGAATCGTATCACCTCACAGATAAAAATTGAAGGTAATACGACTCATAAGGCGTTATATAATCAGCTGTGGTTGTTCATGTTTTCTTTGGGAAAATTCATTCGGATAGAATCCTACAATTGATGAAAAAACCCAAAAATATTGTCATAGAAAGGCTGTGAGATGAAAACAGAAAACCTATGTCATTGAAACTGTTTCATTCTGGAAATTATCATATTATTCACTTCAGTCGCATATTATCTGTTTAAAAAAGTCAACAGTAAAAACACTTGACGGAAAACAATCTAGCATTCAACGGGAAAGTTGATGATCTTCATCTGTAGCATCTCATCGGCTTTTGATTTTGACAGTGCTCTCTTGTGACGCTAAGTTTCTGAGAACATTCGATAGAGGGCGTTCTATCAACAAATGTACGACTAATCCGGCTGCAAAGGCTTGTATTATATCGGAGAATATGGACTTCCACTGAAAAAAAAACAATATATTATCAGCTGATAAGTACATCGAAAAGCTGCTGGAAGCAGCATCTGGATTGAGCAGACGAACGCATAATGCGACGCGTGCGTCAAGCAATACGAAAAACACGTCTGGTATTGTGAAAAAACGATTCATGGCTTTTGCATCACGGCAATGCAACTGCTCATTCGTCATTGTTGTTGGTGATCATGTCTCGCCCACCATATGTACCAGATTTGGCCTCCTGTGACTTTTTTCTGTTCCGGTAACTGAGGAGACCCATGAAAGGACGACATTTTTGAGAAAAAATAATAATTCACCTTAATTATTTTTTTCTCAATTTCAAGTATCTCTCTGTATCTGTAGAGTAGGGAGGGTGAGTGTAAGCCCACGCACTTAGGCCACATGTGACCCATTGCACATCCTCCCGAGGAGTTGTTCTCCTAGGTCATCGTCCATCCTGTCGTTTCCAGGAAGCTGGATAGGTTACTGTGAGACATCTCCTTTAAATCGGCAGGTGTGGGCCAAGACTCGCCGAAAACACACTTTCTTATTGACGATAATTTCGGACACTCGTAGAGGACATGCCTGACAGTTTCATCTTCCTGTTTACACATCCTGCATAGAGGTGTGTTCACTAGCCCTATATTATGGAGGTGTTTCCTTAGTTGACAGTGCCAAGTCAGAAATCCTACCGTAGATTTTTCCTGGTCATCGCCAGATATTTCTTTGGCGCAAGATTCCAGGGTCGCCCAGGGCGATCCTGGCAAGATTGCATCTTTTGATTCCATCCCATCTCTTTAAGGATTGAGCATGGCTGTAACATTCGGCTAGTTCTGCAATTGTCGAAGACAACAGGTCGTAGGTGCTACTGGGTCCTAAAATTCTTAGTCCAGCCGCTTCCTTGGCTAAAGAGTCGGCAACGCGATTACCTTTAGTCCTCAGGATAATGCTATTATGTACCGATGCTTTGGCTATTCAATTTCAAGTATTTTATGTAGATTTTCAACAGATTTGACTAATTGTTGTTAATGGAGGGGCACAGATTGGTACAGTTGTTCGAAAATACAGAACCCATACCTTCTACGACCCTGAGTTGTCTACAAACTGCATTTTTCCGATATTCTCTATTCTAAACAGAACACAAAACAACTATTGAGTTGTGTTTCTTATTGGGAGGAAATGACAGCTGACATCAGGTTATTTGCGTGGAAATGTGCCCTACTAGTATGATACACAATTCAACGTTTTTTTTTTGGGATTCGCAACAAAAATGCGAATACTTGGATTGAGCATGAACAAGCCTTTAACCTTGAAAAAATTGATCCCGTAGACAGAACTTTCAGTTTTCATCTGCATTCGATGAATCAAGAATTCAATTATTTCAAAATAATACAATTTGTTCGTGAAATTCTCTATTTGATATTATCATCTTCTTCAGGTGAAGGATGCGTATTTTTTTACAAAACTTACCATTATTTCATCGTTCAGAGGTATCAATTCGTCTATCAAAAGATATCTTCCAAAAACGATCAGAAAGTTAACGAGATAGGTGGAGTAAGCCCATTTGGCCAAAAATACTGGGTAGTCCCATTCACAAATTTTTTTAACGACACCTGAAAATATCGAAATTTGAGTGGAATGGCATGAGAAATTTTATGATTTCGCATGTGAGTTATTGAAATTTCAGTAATTTATTCATTTGAGAAAGAAAACAATCCTTACATTGATCAGTTTTGATCTCAAAGTGACAAACCAATCAATACAGTTTATTGTATGATTTTCACTATACTTAAAGGATTTTACAAAAACCGCGACACATGTTTCGCTAGACAATTGCTATTGTATAGTGAAACACGTGTCGCGGTTTTTTTAAACCCATTATACTGGGAATCATACAATAAACTGTATTAATTATTTTGAATATGGGTTTACATCAAGTATCTGCCAGTTGTATTCAAAATGCTATTTGTTTCATTCAAATGAATAACCCAGTCAAGTAGCATTTCAATGTGAGATTTTCACAGGACAGTTTACAGAAGAGCAACACGTGTTTTGCTTCACAATAGCTTTCTCAAGTGTGTTCATATTGGCAATAAAATCAGCGTTCATAACGATATTCAGTATGAACAAGCCTGAAGAAGATATTTAATAGCGAAACACATCTTACTGTTTTGCAAACATTTCAGCATGAATTTCACAATACAGTTTTATCTGAATATCAATTTCTCATGATTCATCATATTTTCATTTATTCAAGGTGACGAAGACGAAACAAGTATCAATAAATGTGTCAAAAGTTCAAACCAATGACCATCTTCATACATAAAATAATATAAATATTTGAAAAATTTCCCACACTCCAGAACGTTTCCAAAGTCATTCTACGGCACTGGTCATGAAAAATCAAAGATCGACAAATATGGTAACCGTTTAGGTCAATCTGTGTTGCTTCTTCTATCAATTCAGTACTGTGGAGAATATAAATCGAAATGCAATCGAAGCATAACGTAGTGGACCGCCACTCTGTTGAGATAACAAATGTCATTTATCTTAGTGTTGGTTAATATCAACAACAAAACAACACTGAACTGAATTGGGAGAGAAGCTAGAAATGAACAGCCCCAAAGGTTGCAGATTTGTGGCCCATTGATTTTCCGTATGGATACTCAAAAATAAAAACCAATAAAATACAACCAGCATCTTTGAGTAATTTGTATAGTAAAATCGTCGATGAATGCCTTTGCATATTTTCAATTGTGTGGACACTGATAATCATACCTTCGATAAATTCATGTATTTTTCTGAAGTGATATCAACTCTTGTTTTCGTTTAGTTTTTCTATATATGACTATGATTACAATAATTGTAATTGTTTGAGAATGTAGGATGCAATTGTTTGGAAAAGTCCATACAAGAGGGTTAGGTTAGGTAAGGTCCAAAGTGAGTGGGTCTATTCGACCCTCCACCGCAACCCGCAAGGGTTTATTGTAGCTCACACCTACTCACACTCGACCAAATAAACCCAGCTTCCTAACGAAGCCGATTAGTTTGTATGGTGAGTGGTTTTTCAGGTCAGATGGTGAGAGTAAGGCTCTGCCGAACTCTTAAAACCTGATTCGGTCCCCTGCGGGACATGCACAAAGTATATGCTCTGCTATTTCATCGTTAATGAGGTAGTCGGATAGTCAAGGTGCAAGATTCCCACCTTGATACCCGCGACAACCTTCCCATATGAGGGTTTTTTCACGTCAGCTACACCTGACGATGCCTTAGATTCACCCGTGCAGGGCTAGTTCGCCTCTGGTTTTGGTGAATCACCACTTGAGCGCAAAAGGAGGGTTTGTTCCTCCACCTGAGACAGATCCTGCGTACGCTGCTCAAGAATTTAGTGCAAGGCGGTTTCATAAGGTACCCCGCTTTGGAAGAGACGACTCAGTCGTTTTCGCTGCACCACCAAACCTTTTTTTAAGTTCAGTTATTGGATCAGGATTTGGAGAGTTGAGAAACTCTCGCTTCTAATCTAAATTTACAAGGAAGTCAGTTGGAGCCGTAAGCTCGACATCCATCTTCTCTGTAGCGTCTGAAAGAATTTTTTAGTTTACTCTGTCCATAAAAGTCCCACGAGTAGCTAGGGAAGGAAGGTCAATCACGGCAGAACCCCGCATTACCGTGACAAGGCGATGCTACGACGAGAAAACTACACTAACATTAATTACAAATAAAAGTGGTAAAAAACATTCAAAGTTTCATTTCTCATTTTTTATAACTATGTTATCACTAAGTTGATAAATATTTTGAATTTCAAAATATTCACCTCTCTTATGCCTCCAGACAGTAGTATTTGCAAATGTCTGTCTGAAAATAACTACTTTCTTAGCTAATACCAAGATGGACATGATGAACAGTGGTGTGTTAATTTTCTCACGAAGGAAATTTTTACAAATGATGCTTGTTCATCCGGTAGCAGAACCTCATTGAAATCAATCGTTTGAATCATACAGATCAGTTTTGGGGTATTACCCCTCGAAAGTGCGAGAAAAGTATGCCCCAAGACAGCAGTGTAGTCCATTTTTAATGATCACATCGTGGTTCCACTGCCTTTAAGGAACCTTCATCTATAAGAAAACTCTGTCAACTAGTAACAGCTCCATTTCGTGAACAGAGTTGCAAGGTCCTATTGCTGAACGAAAGACAAGCAACTATAAGGAATTTTGCCGATATATCTGTTAGAATGAAGGGGTATATTTCATAGGAAGAGACCAGTTTTTCGAAAAATGGAAGATTTTTGGAATTCTACTTCTTCACCTCTACGTAGAAAAATATGTGGAAGTAAGGAGAATTGTTGTGGAATTGACCGCGGTGATAGTGCGCCCGACTCACGATCGGAAGACCGTGGGTTCGATTCCTCTCTCGACCAGATATTTTTCTCGAGAGAATTTATCTGGTTGAAGCTGGGATGATTCTGCAACTGTGTTAGGAATCACACGTTAAAAGGTAAGACCTCGTTAGTCCTTAGCTCGCACAAGTTTCACAACTTCTGATAGTTGTCGTTTGTATGGGGGCGACAGCTGATTAACGGAAAAACAGATTTGAACAGAAAGCAGTAAAGTTACAGAGTATAGATAACTAGTCATTTTATGCGTGGAGAGTTTATTTTAAACGCAATTACTTTTTTCCTTCCTTCAAAAGTGAATGTCTTTTGTGGTATTAACCAAAGAGGTAGTTGTTCTCCAGCAGGCATTTGCCACATTCGACATTGTAGAGTCGTTGGAACAAATGAATGTTTCCAACCCAATTCTTAATTTTAGTTTTCTTGGAACGTTTTGTGTTTCTCCTCGATACAGTTTCAGACATATTTTAATTTCAACGCTATCACGATTGATCGATTCAAAGATGGTTCTCAAGGATGAATTCGAACTCACCTCCTATTCCATGAGACAATCCCAAAATGCCTACCGCAACTCCAAGTGAAAACACCAGTTTGAGTGTGGCCCCCAGAATTGCTGATAAAAGACGGGGATATTCAAAAAGTGATAGATACACCGCGGAGATTGGTAATCCGAAAAATACCAGTAACCAGGAATATGTAACCACCTAGAAACAAAAACCAATCAGTTTGGAATTGGAAAATGTGTGATTGACGTATTAGACAAGAAAAATTCATTTCAAAAAATAATACATAGAATATTTCATTACTGGAATAATACATGTGTTTGTCGATCTTTTGCTGGAAAAATCCTCACTTGTTTACCTCATAGTGAATGTTCAAGAGGTAGCAAAAACATGTGATTTTCTGGAACTTCAACTAGCGTTTCCTAACATGACCGATAACCAGTCCGTGCAAAGCTTATTGTTAAATCATCTTAAAATAGACCTTTAACGGGTGATGATCTACTGTATTGCCAAACATGCGCTGAACTAACTGACTATTATGAGAAAACAAGTATAGCTGAGGCACCAGTCAATCACTGATGATCTTCAAACATGACTCAACCTCTGACGGAAGCACCAAACTCTTACGAAGGTTCGAAATAGATGAACACTTCAATCTAGCAGACCACTATTATAATCTTCATGCAGTCATTTTTCACCGTGGTTCTGGCGTTGAATCCGGTCATTATTACACATTGGTTTGGTTCAAGTTTGACGATAGTCGTGTCACTAAGTGTTTTAGCGATGTCTTGAAGTTATTGTAGCCTCTGGAGACACCCTACATTTTGTTTTATGGAAGAGAGGATATTGTCAGATCAAGTTCTTCAGATGATGTGGTGCTGCAGATTTTTCCGGGTTTTCCTGCAGCTAAAAATGCAAATGCGCCACTGGAATCAATGATGCCCGTTAGTTAGGGAAGCCACATATTATGCTGTAGATGACCCATCCCGATATAGAAGGCCCCGACACTCTGTCGAATGAGGCCCTCATGTCCCCCATTAACGGATGAATAACTTTTTCATCCATCCCACCCCAGCCAAGTAGGGGTATCCCGTGAAGGGCGACACTGATGTCTAAGGACTTCATGCCGTCATCTATCAGTTGTGTACCCATTGGCCCCTCTCAAGGCCAATAATCAGCCAAAAGGGTAGGGGAGCTGGTCTCCAAACCTGGACGAAATCAGGATGACTCGTCACTGGAATCAATGAAGTCACCCCGGAGCGCCAATTAATTTTTGTTATTTCATAATTTCATATTTCTGAAAATTTCAGAAATAGTTTCATTTGTGATCTTGATTATTGTTTTTTGAAAATATAACTCGAATATATAGCAGAGTAATGTTATCATTATCGGTTATTTTTATACTGGAACATCCCATAATACAGAATGAACGTATCATAGAAAACTGAAATGGGCTATTTTTTTCAATCACTTTCGTTAAATATCTTTACTGATTGAAATTGTTTGTCATTTCCTTTTCATTTGCCATTGAGCTGTCGAAAACATGAAATTTTTCCTGTTTTTTTGGGTGAACGAAGCTGAATACATATATGATAGATGTTCAAATATTTTTTTTAATCTATTTATTCATTTATAATTTAATTTGTATGGTCACATGTGTATTGTGTATATTTCTGTGTATATATTGTATATTGATGATTGTATAGGTACAAGATGAATCTGACGATGGTCAATAAAAATATTTGACTGATTGATTGATTGATCGGATAGATAATTTGCTGAAGTGAAATAAAGGGCAAACTAAAACGTTCATCCCCAAAAGTTGCTGCGTAATATAAACCACTAATTAGTCACAATGAGTCACAAATATTGCCTACAAATTGAATAATCTATGGAAACATTTAATTATCGAACTTAGCTTGCAATTCTCGATAACATACTAGCTTTACTGCTGGTTGTTTCAAATGTCCCAATATTGGTTTCGGTTTTTCTGAAGGTTTTACCGTTTGACAGCTAGTCCTGGAATTATTATCTGAGGATGATTTCTGGTGAAAAGTTACCGCCATCTTATTCACTCGAAACAACAAATTCATAACATTTCTTCAAAATAACGTTTGAAATTAATGGCTTTTGTACAAAGTCCACACAAATATTCTCACAGAGTCAATAAATGACAAATCCATATATCATATGCTAATTAGTCATTTCAAGTACCCACCTCATTCACTTTGATGGTATGATTTTTGTATTTGTGGTAGAGTCCTCCAAAAATGAGGCCTATGCCATATCCTCCAAAATTCGAGTAGAAGGATGAATATAGAACACACAGTATATTCGATCCTACTGAGTTCTCCACTTTGGAATTCCTGAAACATGGAAAATATTGTAGAGTTTCCATTAACTGGGAGAACAAGGTGAAATAATATGAACTGCATTGATTCGGAAAACTAAAATGAGGCAAATTTCAAATATTTTGTCTGTACCTGAAGTGTCAACATTTTTGTTTCATATAAAATACCCTTCAATCATATTATTGCTGAGCCATCTTTGAAGAATAATGAAATTTCAATAAGTGTTCTTGTGAAATTGAATGATCGTAGTTTTTCGTTGAATTTGTAACAAATGGAAATCTGAATTCGACTGCCAAATATTGAATATTTCTTATTACTCAGTGGGCTATGCTTCACATGAACATTTGAAAATTATTCCTTTAGATTTGTTTACTGCCTATCTTCAAGCATAGCCCACTGACTAATGAGAAAAGTTTTCTTCCTTATTCAGAGGAATCGAGCAAATTTCGGAAATACAGTTGGTTAGTACTTTATCCACTAGATGAAGTGACATTTTTGGTGTTCGCTCCAACTAAGACTAGGAATGAAATACTCAGAAAGAATTTCGATTTTCAATTATGTAATATCAATAACTTCAGGTCGATGATGGCCACTATATTGCACTGACGAGTGGCTAAGGAGCCCGAAACCGGTCTGCAAGTGTGCCCGTCCCAAAATTGAAGGTCGACTCTTTCAGTTGTATTGCTAATTGCATATGCAGAAAATTTTCTGTGAAAATTCCTGCACTGACGCCTGTCGGATATAATCCAATGCTGTTCGTGGTATTAGCCAGTGGAGTAGTTGTTTTCAACCTACCGCGTAGGTATATCCGAGACAGACATTTGAAATTCATTCCTTCAGATTTAAATATTGAATCAATCACAACAAACATAGAATCACTTCTTAAATTGAAATCATTAATATTTTCCACGACATATAATCGACGTATGACCGATACTTGGTGGAAATTGATTATTATAGCGTATCTATTTACTTCCATGTGATATTTCCATTTGAAATTTCACAAAATTTTGACACGTGTTTAACTATAAAATAGCACATTGTTTTGCGAAACGTGTTTCGCTATAAATTGCGCTCTTGCGTTTCGCTATACAATATCACATTCGCTATACAATAGCACATTATATAGCGAAACACGTGTCAGGGTTTCGTGAACTTTCAAGTGGAAATCTCAGGGGTATGCCAGTCAATTCAGGGATTATAAAGAATTATTCTGAGTTCAACTGTACTGAAGAAGTTCGTCAATGAGTCCATAATTAACATGCAGGAAATTTCAATGGAGAAAGTTGTATACTCACTCAGGCGAAAAATCAAAAATAACTGGATAATTGTTGTAATATATAAGAGATGCATGCATCAACCAGAAGAATCCCATCGTCCACAGAATGATTTCTTCTCCGATTTTATAATTCACCATCACATAAAACAAAATCATAGCCAAAAGGAACATCTGGAAGTCGTTCGATAAGTACCAAGTTCCGATGTTACACTGTGAAAAATAATTTTGGAGTAATATTGTAATATTGGAGTAAAAAAATGAAAAAGCACCACTATTTTTTGTTTATATAGATGGCTCATGTTCTGAATCCAAGATTTTATACCTACAAATACTCCTAGAAGTTTTTTCAGAGATTGCTATAAATCTTGATGAAAATGAGATGTTTCAATAATAGTGTATTAAACTATCATACTGAACTGGTCTGCTTTTACAAGTGTTTTTGATAAGTCATGAACTGAATATGAAACTGAACAGTTATCTACTTTTATTGAAGCAACTGAGAAATTTTGTTTCTCTTGACACTCTTCTCGCCACCTACTTTGCCTTTCTCCATTTGCATATCAGCTACGGGATGATGCTTTGGAAAAAATTTACTTCTGCTGAAAATATATTGGTAACACAAATGAATAATAATGTTCAACGCCGGCTATCGTGGCACAAGTCACCTATTATTTAAATAACTTGGTATCATGACTCTTGCATCAATCACTGCTGGGGGTGCATGAAATTGAAGTCAGTCTTCTGATTGATTCCTAATTTCTTTACTATGATACATGGTGCTCATCTTGTGCGAGCCGCTAAGTTCAATCTACAGAAGTCTTCTAAGAATTCTTTAGATGACGATGTATATGATATCCTGGCAACTGCCAGTCAAGAACTTATCTCACGTTCCACGTTTTGAAAATTACTTGAAGAATTTCTCATTGATGAATGCTTTTCCAGTCTACATTGATATATGGCTGCTTCCATGGTGATGCCTAGATATATTTTCAAGGGAAATTGCATGTTGCCAAAATGAGTTGATGAACATCGACCGATAGTGCTCGCCGTTGACAGTAATAGCCTGGCTGACGTTGTTCTAAACGGAATATGGACCTATGACGCCGCCAGTTTGAAATACACACCAAATAGTGACTTTTTCGGGATTGGTATCGTCCAAATTCGACAATATTGTTTGTTCACGTTCCCATCGATCCAGAAATGAGCGCCTCATTCGGCGAATACACGTCGGTGTCTATGGTAGTTTACTTTCAGTGCATGGGTAAATTTTGTACGGGTGCAGGCCCAAGTCACGATTTGAAATTTGCCAAGTTGTGGTCTGCAAAAGACTCAGTTACGAAATTGACTGCCTCGAATTTTCCTGCACACTCTCACAGACAGCGGCGATGTTTTCGCCAGATCTTGCGTTCCATTGACGTACACGTGTTGGTCGATCGTTTAGTGAATCAGTTGGCAAAACATACTGGATACATGACAGTTAATTTGACAGATGTAGAGTCAACAAAATGGCCGTTATCAATTGTCAAAATTCATAAGTTTCTATTGGAAGACCCTATACTTGCTACAAATATTTTTTACATATACGTGGTTGAATATACTATATATCTATCTAATAGCGATTGTTTTCTAAATTTATTCATTATGGACGAACATGACATATATTCCTTCTAATAGTTTTAATTACATGACAGATCAATCATACTCACCATATCACTTTGGAGAAAATAGTTATTAACAAGTAACAAAGTTGCCCACCAGTTTTTCTGGCAAGCCCTGAAATCCATATCGTTTCTCTCAGATGGGGGACCAGCAATCCAGATGCTGGGCCAATTACTCATTTCCCAGCAAACAATGAAACCAAGAACTGGGAGTAACCTTGAAATGAAAGAAGCGTTGAAGTAAAATAAGAGAGAACAGAGTTGAACTAATGAGCTATCTATATCCAGGGCGATTCTAAATCAGGATTAGGATTCAATAAAACTTGACATGATTTCGTAGCAGAAATTTAGAAATTTGTTTTTACAATATAAATGAAAAATAAAGAATTGATCAATAATTGAATTATCAAAGAATCGCAGAAATACATTTGATATTTATCAGAAATTACTCGGCCAAGGAGATTTAATTGAACAACATTGAAATATCTCAATGTCAAACTGTTCATTGAGAAGCGTTCTAAACAGAGGTAAAATATTATTTGATATTTTTTTTGTTTCGAGACACGATACATACCATAATCTATATTATAAATACATCACATCATAATACAATATTCCATGAGGAACATCCATTGTGATATAAATTTGTCATCTCCATTTTTTGTCGTTCTATTAATTATATGGCTGCATTATTATATTTTTCCACAAGGAAGTTGTGGAAATGTTTTATTCTACGTTAGGGAAGATCGGGTAAGGTTGTCTCACGGGTTGGTTGTCACATCAGCCATATTGGAAAATTTAATGATCGAAAGAGTTTATCGAACAAAATCGAAGAATTGCGAGAGAAATATTTCCATCTCTACTGTCACTTCAGTTCACTCTCATACTGTGTAAGGGAGATACGTACATTTGTTTTTTTTGGACGGCAAAAGTAAATTTTTGTGCATTTGTGTCGAGTCTCATAAGTATACTAGAATTTTCCTTAGATATACAGGGCTTTTCATGCCTAAATATGCCTAAAATATTTCAGACGAAGCTGAAGCCGCTACTATAAAGTAGCGGCTTCTTCGATTTTTCAAATGGAACTTCCCGTATATGATATCACATTATGATTCATTATCACTTTGTCAACAAATTCATATACTATTTCCCTATACCTATCTATTACCGTTTAGAAGATATAAATTAATTACGATATTTTTTTTACCAAACATGAACTTTTATAAATGCTGATAATCTTGAACTCTCTTGCACTCTTGCAAATTTGAACTGGAGTGGAGTGATACTATGAGAATCTTCACTACGAGTCATATTTTCATTTGCCTCATACAGGGTCTTCAAAAAATGCAGATACTTTGATCTCATGAAAAAATGAGTGGAACTCAATTTTTTCAAATGGAACACCCTATTTATTTCAACATTTTTGAGCTCTACATCCAATTTTAGATTGACTTTGTTCAGATAATACTATTTCTATTTTGTACCGTTTTCGAGATGAACTGTTTCAAACGGAAACTGACGTGGTTTTCTTGCTCGTTTTTTTGAATTCATCACTTATTTTGGATATTCAACATTTTTTTCATACCTAGTTATATTTCTTTTTGATCCAGTTTTTTAACTGTTTCAGATCAGTCAATTCGTACAAGGTATGTACCTACCTTAGAAAAAGTTACAATTTGTATACATTGAGGTATTGGTCTCTAACGTACAACAGTACACATTAATATCTTCATTTTTTTTGTAATAGTATGCTTTATGAAAATAAATAAACCAATTATTTAATAGCTGCCAATTATAATAGAATAATGTCAAGATTGGGTTACAGTAATGAAGATTTCTTGAATTTATTAATAATTTATGGTGAGTGCAATAGAATTGCAAGTAGAACATGCCGAGTATTTCATGAAAGATATACACAACTTCCGAAGCCGAATAATAATGTGATAAATCGACTACTAAAAAACTGTAGGTTGAATGGAACCTTCCGTCCAAAAATCATTCGTAAGAACACTAAAGTGGATGATGATGACAATGGTATAACAGTTGTGGGATACTTTCATGCATTTCCAAATGCTTCTCTGCACGAGGCTGAAAGGGAGATAGGTATACTCTACGTGACAATTTGTCGAATTCTTAATAAGCATAAATGGCATCCCTATAAGTTCTACTGTGTCCAACATTTGAAAGAGACTGATTTACCTCGTAGAGTGGAACTCTTTGAATGGTTACTTGTCAAGACTCAAGAGGATGAGCATTTCTTTGACAATATCTTATGGACAGATGAGGCCAAGTTCACAAAAAATGGAGTTTTCAATAGCCACAATAGTCATTATTGGGCGCCAGAAAATCCCCATGTTGTCCGCCAAAGGGGTTTTCAAGAAAGATGGCAATTCAATGTATTTTGTGCCATAAAGAATGAGTCAATTTTTTATATAGATTTTTATGATGATAATTTGAATGCATCAAAATATGAAGATTTACTGAGGAATGAAATTCATATGATTTTCAATAATAGACCAGGAAGAGAACGTGTATGGTACCAAATAGATGGTGCTCCACCCCATAATTCTTATTCAGTCAGCGAAGCTTTAACCGAAATCTTCGAAGACAGTAAGACAGGATTGGTAATAACGGACCTATTCGTTGGCCTCCTAGAACACCAGATGGCAATCCATTAGATTATTTCGTGTGGGATTTCATTAAAAATATGGTTTACTCTACTCCAATAACAACAATGGAAGATATGAAATCGAGAGTTACAACTGCTTTCAATAGTTTGACTCCAGACTTGATCAGAAGCGCTACACCTGACAATCTTTTGAAGAGATTACATGTTTGTTTAAGTAGAGGTGGAGATGTGTTTGAACATATTCTGAAATACACTGACGAATAAATTAACTCATTAATTTATGGGTTTATTATTTTTAATTCGTGTTTAAGCGTTAATGAAACTATTGTTTGAAGAGAAGTTTCATTCGACGGTTGAGGAGTCTTTTAATAATTATCTTTCCATTGTATTATCTGTGACTAATTGAGAAACATCAAACGAAATCTGTTTTACAAAAATGAGTGATGAACAAGGAAACCATGTCAATTTCCCTTTGAAACAATTTATCTCGAAAACGGTTCAAAATAGAAATAGTATTATCGGAACAAAGTTAATCTGAAATTGGATGTAGAGCTCAAAAATGTTGGAATATACAGGGTGTTATATTTGAAAAAATTGAGTTCCACTATTTTTTTATGAGATCAAAGTATATGCATTTTTTGAAGACCCTGTATGAGGCAAATGAAAATATGACTCGGAGTGAATATCCTCATAGTATCATTCCACTCCAATTCAAATTTGATCGTTTTAGTGCAAGAGAGTTCAAGATTATCAGCATTTATAAAAGTTCATGTTTGGTAAAAAAAATATCGAAATTAATTTATATCTTCTAAACGGTAATAGATAGGTATAGGGAAATATATCTGAATTTGTTGACAAAGTGATAATGAATCATAATATGATATTATATACGGGGTGTTCCATTTGAAAAATCAAAGAAGCCGCTACTTTATAGTAAAAGCGACAACGCCGCTTCGTCTAAAATATAATAGGCGTGTAGGTCATATTGACTTATGAATACTGTGGAATTTTCAGGGTGATCCGTTGAATAGTTTACCAGAAACGGCTAATTAACGCTCATCATGAAAAGCCCTGTATATCATTTCATGTATTTTTGATGTGATATATGTGGTTCATGACGACTAGTATTACCCGCAGTGATACTACGTGCTGCAAAAGAAGTGATTTTGGAATTAATCAATATCGCACTCTTTCGTGAAAAATTCACTGTCGAAGAGATAAGCAACACGGTGTTATCGATACCATCAATAAAAATTAGTTATCAAAGGTATAGGCACATCTTCACCGACAAATAGAAGAAATAATTAGATAGATACATAGATACCTATGGCTTCAAGTATGTATTTTGGTTTTTCTCGCAAGAATGTTCGAAAAACATTTACCATAATTGTGATTTCGAACATTCACTGAATTTTGGACTGACTATATATAATTTCGCTAGGATAGGTATTTTTAGTTCACAATCATTGCGGCCTGATGTATTCTTTTATGTAAGACCTTATACAGTACATTTCTTTAATGCCACCCCCCTTTTATTTTTTGAACGGTTCAACTCAGAAAATTGAAATTTGGGATAATGAAATTGATGCATGAATACTTTATTTTGAAGTGAAGTTGACAGATGAAGCTTTCAAGATGGCGACTGGGCGCTATCTGGGAATAAATCAAATTGAAAGGGGGGTCTTGTGACACATCTTTTTGAAGCTCCTGACAAATGCTACACAACTCTGGAATATAATGTCAGTATCTTCAAGTACTACAAAATGACAAAACTTTCAATAATTCAATACAAATACATTGACATTCAACTACATAACATAAGGTAATAAGCTTGAGGTCAGTTCAGAAGATGCTCGAAATGGTTGTTTTGAACTTCTTGACATATGAACAGCCTATCCGATATTTCTCACCGAATATTTTCGAACACAGTAACGTCAATATCTCCACAAATATTCACTATTCTCTGTCGTATATCCAATATTGAAGCAGGTTCAGTTTCGTACACCTTTTGCGTCAAATAGCTCCATGAAAAAAGTATAAAGGTATCAATTCTGGCGAGAGGGTTGGCCATTCTGTAGGACCTCGACGGCCAATCCAACGACCGGGAAAAGTAGTATCCAAATAGTTTTTCACTTTTCTGGAGTGATATGGTGGTGCTCCATCTTGTTGGAATACAATATCCATATCGAATTCATTAAGATTCGCTTCGGCGATTTCAGTGATGAGAGGGTCAATAGTTGTTTCCATCATATTCAAATACAGTTTTCCTGTTAAATTTTGATCAATGAATAGAGGTCCTACAACATGATTTCCCAATATTCCTGCCCAAACGTTATTTTTTTCTGGATATTGGGTATGTGTTTCCCGGAAAACGTGAGGGTTGGTGTCATTTCAATAACGGCAATTTTGTCTGTGAACATTGCCATTTGAAAAAATGTACATTCGTCCCTCAAACAAATATTTTGGAGATAGGTTAAATTTGTCGATGGAACGAGGAACTTTTCCCGAAAAATTAAAAGATGCACTCGTTACACCAATATTTAAAAAAAGAGTTACTGTTCTTTATGATAATTATAGCGGAATAAGCTTGCTTCTAGGCATTTCAAAGATTTTCGAGCTGTAAATCGAGAAGCAATTAGTGTCCTTTTTCCGCTAATGAACAATTTTCACCAACTAAGCATGGTTTCACCCAGAACAAAAGTACTGAAACGGCACTGTATGACTTCCACAAATACGTCATAAATGCTTTTGATAGTAAACTGAGCATCTGTGATTCATTCATTGACTTCTCCAGAGCCTTCGATAATGTAAATCATATACTTCTACTTCAGAAAATAGAACGATATGGGAGGGAAACCGCATTGAAATTAATGAAGTCTCACTTGCAGGGCTGTATTCAAAAAGTTGTGATTCGAAAAACTGTAAGTCAGTCAGCAACCATCGAACAGAGTGTTCCACAAGGCACAACTCTTGTCCCCTTACTATTTCCCATAAACGCGAATAACCTGTTGCAATTCATGAATAGCTTTACGAAAATACATGTGGTTGCTTATGCAGACGACACCAACTTCCTCATCAAGGAGAACAATGCAATAACACTTGCAGAAAAAAAAAGAATGTCTCAGAGCATATAGTAACATGGGCAGCTCCTGAATAGAAACAGTATCATAGCCAAAGCTGGATGATAAGTTAAACGAATTGTCACTTATTCATAAATAAGTAGGCATAACTTGCTCATCCGGGAAATTGAAATATCTTCATCGTTCAGGTTTGATTCCGAAAAGAATGGTTCAAAAATATAGTTTTCCCAAATTCCTATCCCGAACTCATCAAGCCGAAATCATCTTTGTTGAATAGATGAATATCTTCCATTTTGTAAGGTATCATTGAAAATGAATAAATAGTATTCCTAATCTTATTTATATATCAATCAAATTGGCCAAAGAAATCTATGGAGTATTAACATATATTTTCGAATTTATTGAAAACATTTTCGTTTACACTCCGTATATTTTTTGTGACAACGAAAATTTCATTACATTCAAAACAATATCTTGTCCAGACAAAGTAATAACATACGACTGCCAAATGCGGCAATTTTTTGTCTGCAGTACATTCCTACATCACTGTCATTTAATGGATGCGACGATGAAAAAATATTCGAGACAATCGCCATGACCTCTACACAAATTTCTCCCTCATTCTTGCATCTCATAATTACCAATGACTAATGAAATACTAAAGCATCTTGCTGGCGAATGATTCATTGATGTTTGTTTATGGTTTGTTTATTGTTTCGAAGATACTGGCAACAACCTATGAGATATTTCAATTGTTGTTTTTGTGCTGTCTAAAAAACAAACAATAACGCCTACATGAACGGTCAAGGTTTGGCATTATTATATGTCTTTGATACCTGATGAAAAACAAACATTGTTTTGTTGAAACTTGCTTTGGGTTTTCCAGTTATTATTTCAATAATACTCCTTCATGATGATGAATATTAGCATTGTCAGTGATGACCATTTTTATAAGAAATTAATTTTTTTCAAAAAACCATGACATTCGTAGGATTCAACTTTTTTTAAACCAGAAAAAGCGTTCAGAATAGGAGGATTGGAAATAGTTAGAAGTCCATTTCAGTTAATTTTTTATTTCCTGTTGAAAATATATTCGTTAAAGAAATTTTTCCTTAAGCCAAAAAGTTAGAAATATTTCAAAAAAGGAATGATAGTGTAACCTTATATCTCATCGCTCACAATACTTCATTGAGGGGCTTGATGGTCAATTCGTGGACCTGAAAATAAAAGAACAGTAACATTGGAAAAGTATGTGTGTACGCAAAGTAACATGCCAAATAACAGTTTCGAATTTTTCACAAAGAAGGGCATAGTGGATTTTGCGAAACAATTTTCGTCGCGACAAAATTTCACTAAAAACATGTTGACTTGAAGAACATACATTTTTGCAAGACTTCTCCATTGAATGATTTTCATTTTATGAATTTTCATATCATATCGTACCATTTTGTTTCATTAATTTCAAAACACAAGATCCAACCACAACTTCTTTCGTGAACACTGAAAAATTATGAACAGTAATGAAAAGTTTATAGAATTAAATTGAAGAGGGTATATTTTTAGGGAAGGATAATTTTTGGGAAAGAACGATTTTGGCTTTCTACCCTACAAATTTTCCATTTCACGATAAAGAGTGATAGTGTTAAAGATTTGGACAGTTCAATTTGCTGCATAATATCTGATAAAATTTTCTGTTCAGTTGCTAGTTTATAAGATAGAGCGCAAAAACTCTTTGCACTTCTTTCTCCAAGATGGCAGCAGGGGGGCATAGGTTGCGACCCCACAAAATTGAACTTGAGCTTCTGTATCTGTAGAGTAGGGAGGGTGAGTGTAGATTCACAGCACTTAGGCCACATGTGACCCATTGTACATCCTCCCGAGGAGTCTTTCCTGTCCTTTCCAGGAAGGTGACCAAGTCACTAGGAGACATCTTCCTTATATCACCAGGTGAAGGCTAAGACTCGCGGAATACACACTCTCTTTGGCAACCTTGAGGTGTCTCACGGCGGTCTTCGAGAAGATTTTGGAAGGTGCGGCGGTCGGTAGCCAGGCGGTTCGACGTGGGTGCTTTGTTCACTCACTCGAATTGACTGCCGTGTTGGTCGGTGGTTCAAACCCTAGTCTGAACGATCGATTTTCATTTGCTATCGTCCAACCCGTGTTAGGATTCACACGTTAAAAGGTGACCTCGTTACTTCTGAGGGTTATCGTTCGTAGGGGTGAAACGGCTGATTAACGGAAAAACAGATTTTTACCAGATTTTTTTTTCTGTCGTTGCGCGGCTTCTTCATCCTTCTTGGGGTTCCCTCGATGGAAGTGCTCAAGTAAGGGCGCTTTTCTGCAGGGGCAGCCGATTTCTTGCCTTCATTGAAGGCGGAGCTCTTGGCGCCCACCGCAGGAAGTGCCCTTGCTGTTGGAGGCGAAGTGGGGAAAGAGAAGGGTGCACTTATAGTTGCTCCACTCCTGCCTCTATCGCTCTCCTTCTCCTTTTGGCCTTAATATTATATCACGAGGTGATCTGCCATGTCCAGCCTCATTGCGAGGGGCAGATGGAGGTGGACATTTCTGTTCATCCCCAGCCACCGCCATAGAATGAGGTGAACATTTTTGTACAGCCTCGGGATTAGTTTTTGTTTTTTCTGTGTTTGTTTTTGTATTTGTTTCATTCATATGTGTTCCCACGAGTAGCGGGGGAATAGTTGGTCACTCTGGCAGAGCCCCGCATTACCAGAGGAAGGCTGATTACAATAAGGTTTCGCCCGGTTTCCCCAGGGAATCGTTCGTAACCGCATATTACCCTGCAGGTATTCGGCTGCACCATTCGTTTCACCTTAACTTGTCTAGGCTGGTTCACGGTGGCATGATTCGCAAAGGATTTTGGTGAGTTTTTGTTTTCCTCACCCTACTTATTTCTAACACTCACCAGGAGTCCAGCGACCCCGTCCGTAAGGCCACATTGGCTTCCCGGACAGGGCCTCCAGTCCTCTGGCCCTTACCCTATCCGCCACCTGGTAGCAATTCCGGTAGGTATTACTTCAATAGGAGACATTTTTCGTAGAAATCATCATACTAGTTGAGAATAATTATTAATGAAATGCTAGGTGGGCTGAAAAATCCCGGGCCTACAATAAATGGCACTAGTCGTATTGCGTTCATCGCTTTTTCAGTTAGTACTAACCTTAAAAAGAAAGCTGTCAAAATATCATGATAATCTACTCTTAATCTTTAAGTTATCGTACTGAAAGTGACACTCCTTTTTGTTATTTTCAAAACAATGGAACAAACACAATTTCGTGATTCAATTTCACACTGCTTCTTGATGGGAAAAAAAGTGCTTTGTTCACTCACTCGAATTGACTGCCGTGTTGGTCGGTGGTTCAAACCCTAGTCTGAACGATCGATTTTCATTTGCTATCGTCCAACCCGTGTTAGGATTCACACGTTAAAAGGTGAGGCCTCGTTACTTCTGAGGGTTATCGTTCGTAGGGGTGAAACGGCTGATTAACGGAAAAACAGATTTTTACCAGATTTTTTTTTCTGTCGTTGCGCGGCTTCTTCATGCTTCTTGGGGTTTCCTCGATGGAAGTGCTCAAGTAAGGGCGCTTTTCTGCAGGGGCAGTCGATTTTTTGCCTTCATTGACGGCGGAGCTCTTGGCGCCCACCGCAGGAAGTGCCCTTGCTGTTGGAGGCGGAGTGGGGGAAGAGAAGGGTGCACTTATAGTTGCTTCCACTCCTGCCTCTATCGCTCTCCTTCTCCTTTTGGCCTTAATATTATATCACGAGGTGATCTGCCATGTCCAGCCTCATTGCGAGGGGCAGATTGAGGTGGACATTTCTGTTCATCCCCAGCCACCGCCATAGAATGAGGTGAACATTTTTGTACAGCCTCGGGATTAGTTTTTGTTTTTTCTGTGTTTGTTTTTGTATTTGTTTCATTCATATGTGTTCCCACGAGTAGCGGGGGAATAGTTGGTCACTCTGGCAGAGCCCCGCATTACCAGAGGAAGGCTGATTACAATAAGGTTTCGCCCGGTTTCCCCAGGGAATCGTTCGTAACCGCATATTACCCTGCAGGTATTCGGCTGCACCATTCGTTTCACGTTAACTTGCGTAGGCTGGTTCACGGTGGCATGATTCGCAAAGGATTTTGGTGAGTTTTTGTTTTCCTCACCCTACTTATTTCTAACACTCACCAGGAGTCCAGCGACCCCGTCCGTAAGGCCACATTGGCTTCCCGGACAGAGTCTCCAGTCCTCTGGCCCTTACCCTATCCGACACCTGGTAGCAATTCCGGTAGGTATTACTTCAATAGGAGACATTTTTCGTAGAAATCATCATACTAGTTGAGAATAATTATTAATGAAATGCTAGGTGGGCTGAAAAATCCCGGGCCTACAATAAATGGCACTAGTCGTATTGCGTTCATCGCTTTTTCAGTTAGTACTAACCTTAAAAAGAAAGCTGTCAAAATATCATGATAATCTACTCTTAATTTTTAAGTTATCGTACTGGAAGTGACACTCCTTTTGTTATTTTCAAAACAATGGAACAAAAACAATTTCGTGATTCAATTTCACACTGCTTCTTGATGGGAAAAAAGCCATTCAAGCAAAGCAATGGTTCGAAAAGGACTTGGAAACAACAATTGAACGTTGGTTTGCTTTAACGTGGTCGTAGAGACATCGAAGTTAGCTGACATTGTAATGATATCAAAAAAACGTGTTGGCTTCATATCGCATGAGTGTTTGAGTGTGAGGAAGCTCTGTTCAAAGTGGGTGTCGCGCTAGCTCACTGTTGACCAAAACCAAAAAAGTCTTGGTGATTATGAGCAGTGTTTTACCCATGTTCAAACATGACAAAACAACATTTTCGCGTCGATATGTGACAATGGATGGATGGATCTTTCACTTCACTCCGGAATCAAACCGATCTTCAAGTGAAAGAACAATTAATAACGATTTATCGGTTTCAAAAATTAAACTTTGCCTTTTTTTCCCAACTTATTCATATTTTTGTCCATACTCTTCTTCAACTGTTGAACCTTATTAGTTGTAAATAATAAATACATTCGTTATTATTATTATGTGAGTGTAGAGCAACTGGTGAAGCTCTTCCAAAGCGCCAGAAAGCACAAGAATCGGCTGGAAAAGATAAATCGTTCTACAAAAGTGGTATTGAAGTGTTAGAGTGGCGCTGAAATTATTTAAAAAAAAAAAAAACATTTTTCTTCCTTAGGCCCGGGAATTTTCAGCCTATGTGTTATATGTACCTGTACATGAGGCGGCGTTGATAAAACATACACGATGGCATCGGCGATATCCTCCGGTTGCAACATATGTTTGCCGATTAAATCGTTGAATGCTTGGCTATTTCTCGTTTTTTCATCAAAAATGGGAGTATCTACAGCTCCAGGACTGATACTCTGAAAAAACAAACAGATAGAAATTGTTCCTCAGAACTAAAATTCCAATAGAGTGATATGTTTTCAAAAAAACACGAAAGCATTAGTCTAATATTGATTAAGTTTTTGAAAAACAAAGTTTTTTCAAATTTTCCATCATACTGTATGTCCAAGATGAGGACGGGCCATCATGAGAGATCTGGAAATCGTGAGAGATATAAATTCGGTTAGATTGAAAAAACGTTGCTCATTTCAAAGTATTTCGAATTAATTTTAAAAAATTATGTATTTTTGATTACTTCCGGAGATATTCGGAAAGAACCAAAATTCGCCGATTTTGTTTTAGATTTCATCTTTCGTTATTTGAGAAGATATTACTGAAAAAGAAAAAAATAAATCTGAAAAAATGAACTTTCAAGCCCGTCTCAGATATACCTACCCAGTAGGTTGAATGGACTGACGCCTATCAGAAAACAACTACTCCACTGGCTAATATCACGAAGGGCGTTGGATTATATCCGTCAGTGTAGGAATCTTCACAGAACATTTCCTGCATATGCAATTGTCAATACAACTGAAAGAGTCGACCTTCAATTTTGGAACGGGCACACTTGCAGACTGGTTTCGGGCTCATTAGCCACTCGTCAGTGCAAGATAGTGGCTACCATCGACCAAAATTCTATGATATTCCATTATTGAAAATCGGAATTCTTTCAGAGTATTTTATTCCTCTTCCTAAGTTTCTGATAGGCGTCAGTCCATTCAACCTACCGAGACTGGCTTGAACATGTAAAGTTCATTTTTTTAGATTTATTTACTGCCAGTCTAATAAGAAAGTTTTTCTTTCAGAGGAATCGGGCAAATTTCGGATATGCATTTGGTTGGTACCTCTTCCACTAGATGGAGTAACATTTTCTTGTTCGCCCCAACATAGGAAGATGAATGATATACTCTGAAAAAATTCCGAATTTCAATTATGGAATATCATTAACTGTAGGTCGATAATGGCCACTATCTTGCACTGACGAGTGGCTCATGAGCTCGAAACCGGTCTGCAAGTGTGCCCGTTCCAAAACTGAAGGTCGACTCTTTCAGTTGTATCGCCAATTGCATATGCAGGACCACTTTCCTGATTATACATATTCAAAATTTCCTGAATTTCAGAACGTTATAATCGAAAGGGCCTTCTTTCCTAATTTGAGCGACCTCTACGGTTTCTGATTTCCCCATGCTGGCACTCCTCATCGTTCAACACCAAATATATTATAGACATAAAATATTCACGAATATTATTATCATACATTCCATCCCTATTTGCTTATGTTCATGGAAAATTGCTCACATAAATTGAGGAATCGTGAGAATTGTATCAGTTCAAAATATCAGAGCAGCATAAGCAGCTTATTTCTCGTAGCCCAGTGCTTCATATTTGCATGAAATATGACAAGCCGTTATACCGTCAGGTTTTCTTGAAATTTGCAGAACCCAATGTAGGTAAAGGAAGACTGGCCTGAACGATAATTTGAACCCAGTATGTAGCCACCCAGTATGTAGCTACCAAACCAAAGAAGTATGTGTTTTTATGAATTCGGCCACCATTGAGTATAGTTGCTCAATCTTCCATATCTTTCTGGCCTGAGGAATTGATTTGGTTCCTTTTTTACCGAAGTACGTACGTCAAGCAATACGATCTCGACGTAGGAGAGTGAGGGATAGGGCAACCCAAACTATACCCAGAAGAATGGAACAAACGTCCAGCAAGGGATCTACACAAACTACTACGGAGATTGTTGGAAGTAGCAGCAAAAAAATGAAAGATGGCAATACACTGTTGAGGACTGATAATCAGATCTCAGAAAAACCGTTCAAAGATACTAGGGTCAGCGGCGTTCAAATCTGTGAGAACCATGATGACTTTCGTCTGACACTGATGGAAAAAAGAACTTCAACACGAATGTAGGCTAGTTGGTTCATAACCAGCTCAGGTTTGTCGAAATTCGCAGATTTTGTTAATATATCTCGGTCAAAAGAGAAATGAAAATTTCTATGTTTTTTACCACTTTTATTTGTAACTAACGTTACTGCAGTTTCGTCCTATATGGACATTTTCAAACTTGAACAATAAACTAAAATGAAATTTTGAAGCGATTTAACTATGTAAGAAATAAAAAAAATAAGGAGTACAGTTGAAATAATTGATAATAATTCAACTTATTTAACATAGTTGACATTATTTTTAATTGTTTGTTCTTTGTAGGTATATTGAATTAGCGAAATTTTGAAATGCAATTCTGAGTCGGAATGTATTTTTATTTCAGATAAGATGAAGTCTTAACATTTGTAGGGTTTTCATTTGGAAATATTCAATCTCACTTTTCAACACCCTGTATTGATAATGTGAATGTCATTGATGATTTCCATTGAAGTCACTACTTTTAAAGAATTCGAGGATAATTACTAGAATGAGGTTTTTATAATGGAAAACGGATGATAAATTATCAATTCATTGACCCGTTACTTAATGAGAGATAATAACTTTATTCATTATGATGAAACAAGGTTCACGCAATTAACTTTACGAGAGATGCGTCTGTAGTGAAATTATTAGTGAGAAAATCGTTTCATTATGACGGAAAGTGTTATCAAATTAATTGAAATTCCAAAACCTGAAAACGCGAAAACACTATAAACACAAAACCTATTCAGAAGTAGAATATGACACAAAAAATATGCCACTAATTATCTATGAATACACTGCATTCCATTTAAAACGAGCCATCCTGAATAACTTTTTGTACAATGGTTTGCAGAAAAAATAAAAAACCACTTCAACAATAGTATACAGGGGGACACATTTTGACATATTCACATTTGATCTAACTATCCCTATCGTACCCCCAGAGCATGTCACCATTTTTTTTCAAATGATTTCAACAAAGCAGAATACATTATGGCCTGAAGCTCATAGTTTGGCAGCTGAAAATCATTTCAGTTGAAACCGGGTCACCCTGGATGAACTTCTGTACAATCTTTTACCTTAGTTTCATTGGTATTTTTGTGAAGTATACTTCAAAGAAGCCTCATTCTGCCTAGTTAATTTTGAACTCGATATTTTTTTCATTTTGTATCTGTCTCATTCTACAATAACGATTACCTACCAGGTGGAGTTACAATTTTTCACATATAGTCGGTGGGCATACTACTCCCCTGGCTAATACCACAAAGGGCGTTGGATTATATCCGACAGATTTCAGTGCAGGATTCCTCACAGAAGTTATTCCTACATATCGACCCATCTGCCCACACAGGCAGATGTTGTTTGTTGTATGCTTCAACTTAGTTCAAGGATTGATACTCTGAAGGAATTTGATTTTCAGTTATCGGAATTCATCGACTTTATGTTGATGATATGCACTACCTTGCACTGACGAGTGGCCAAACAGCCCGAAACCGGTCTGCAAGTGTGTTCCAATAATTGAAAATCTATTGCGGCAGTTGTATCGCCAATAGCATATGCAGGAAAAACTTCTGTGAAGAATTCTGCACTAACACCTGTCGGAAATAATTCAACGCCCTTCGTGGTATTAGCCAGGGGAGTAGTTGTTTTCTGATAAGTGTCAGTCCATTGACTTACTGTGTAGGGAGTTGAGACTGGCCTGAACGAATTGTTCTTTTGGATAATTTGAAGTTACAATTGGTATTTCTGTATTTGTGAATTCTTGAGAAGCGATGGTTTATACGCACCGAACGGATTGAACTATTGAGTTTACACTACCAGAATGGAAATACTCGTTTGTTTGAAGGTGGTTCCGATCATTAGCTCCAGAGATTCAGCCACTCAGAACTTGTCGAGATTTTTACTACCAATAATTAAACCACTACAAGGTGAAACATCATCTTTTGTGAAAAATTCAAGGCATTTCGTTGAACTACTAGGGGAAATCGAAGTCGAAGAGCAGGATCAACTGATAAGTTTTGATGTGGAAAGCCTCTCTACCAACGTTCCTGTCGAAAAAGCACTTCAAATTATCCAGAAGGAGCTATACGGAGATGGAGACCTAAAAGATAGAACAAACTCACCGATACACGTAATCATGGAATTACTAGGATGCTGTGTACGAAACTGCTACTTCCAACTGAGGGACGAATTCCTTACGTAAGATGAAGAACTGCCAATGGGATTGGCACTTTCACCTGTTATAGCCAATTAATATATAGAGTGGTTTGAAACTTTGGCCTTTGAAGAAGCCCCGAGTCTGGTTGAGATACGTAGACGACACCTTCATAATATGGAACCATGGGAATGCAGAACTAGACACTTTCCTGAAGCACATCAACAACATAAGGCCTTCCATCAGTTTCACAACGGAGAAGAAAATCCACAACGAATTACCTTTCTTAGACGTATTGGTGAAGAGGAGGACAGAATCTGAACCAGAAATCCAACCACCATCAATCGACTAAGAGAGGAATCATCAAGACTCTACTGGACCGTGCTTTTGGGCTCTGTAATACAAAGGAAGATCTCGAAAATGAACTAAGCATCATCAAAAATTACCTTCAACAAAATGGTTACTGCAAAGTGATGATGGAACAGGTCATAGCTGGAAGACAGCCAGAACTCCACAAGGAAGAGAAGCCGCCACAACTAGTACTTGTACTTCCCTACATCAGAGGATTATCGGAAAGGATGAGACGAATTGGGTCCAAGTATAACATCAGGACCTGCTTCAGATCTGGGAACAGCATCCGTAGCAGCCTCACGAAAACCAGGCCACCAAACGCAGACTGCGATTCCAAGAATTGCATTTACCGGATACCCTGCGAGTGCGGAGAATCATACATCGGTGAAACTAAGGGCCATTGAATGTTCGCATTGCTGAGCACAAGAAACACACACAGCAAGGAGAAACCATCAAATCCGGAATAGCAGAGCATGTTTGGACTCATCAACACAACATCAAGTGGGCTCAAGCTGAAATCATTCACAAAGATGAACACTGGATTNAGTTATTCGGGGTGGCTCGTTTTCAACTCAAATAATTTGTAGCCAAACCATAAGCTCAAGACCATATGTTTTATACTTTGTTGAAATCTGCTCATCAGCATCGGATAATGTGAAACAATATAGGGTGATCCATTAAAAAAAATAGTGACATGCACTGGGGGTGCGATAGGGTAAGTAACATCAAATGTAAATATGTCAAAATGTGTCCTCCTGTATGCTATTGTTGACGTATCTTTTATTTTTCCTTGAAGTCATTGTACCAAAAGTTATTCAAGGTGGCTCGTTTTGAATGGAATGCATCTTCGAGATATTTCAAACCCTGTTTTGTCATCGATATTGGTATAACATCAAATTTTCAGTACTCATAGAATTTTTATAAACCAATATCGATACCTTTTCTCACAAGGACCGATACAAAACTCAATCCTCAGTTATCCAACTGCTATGATCAATGGCCTGACTAAGAAGAGTTCAGCTTAGTACCACTGATAAGGTATATGATCGATCGAACTAGCGCTATTTGCCGTAAGATCAATTTTATCATATACCGTCCTTGCCATGTTTTCATCCCCTGTCCTTTAAATGAATCAAGCTGAACATGGAATTCTCTCATAATCCTCCCATTTCTTACTCTCCTCTTCACTGCATGTGCTCTGTAAATGCGAAGAGATAGCAAGGCTGAGACACGCAAGATGCGTGGAAGAGAAATCAGAGGGTGCCAGTTATATGAAGGGGTCAGTGTCAAGGGTATGGAGTCTCATCAAAGACATCAAGCTAGACAATGACCTCTAACAACCAAGGAGCATCACAATAGATCTGAAAAGTGGATCAGGCCATGGGCTAGTTCCCCGACAATCTGATCTAATCTACTCTAGTCTAATGACTCGTATCAAGAATAATGTTTTGTAACTATCTTAATTATCATTCAAACATATATCTTCATCATCAATGCCTTCTTACCGTTATCCTTATTTTGGACTTGATTTGCTGCAGTTCCCGTCTAAGTGTTTCTGTCAAAGCGGTGACAGCAAATTTTGTAGCTGAATATATATCCATGTTAGGCAAATTTGCTACACTATGCCCCCCTATGCTGTTGATGTGAAAAACATGGCCCTCCGCATCGATTTTTCTCATCATTTTCGTTGCCTCTTGTGTCGCGATACACAATGCGAGGACGTTAACGTCAAGTGTTTTTTTCCAGTTTTCTGGATCTCCATCCAGTAGGGTTTGTCTGTAGTGAATTCCTGCGTTGTTGACCAATACTTGTACGGGGCCAAGGTTTTCGATGATCCACTGGAAAGCTAGCTTTATTTCTTCTCCTTTGCTTATGTCTGCTTTGTAGCTGTAGAGTTTGCCTTTTTTATCAGATAGTTCCGATGCCATTTTGTCTATCAAGTCACTTCTTCTTGCTATTCCAACTACCTAAAAAATAAATATTGTTGTGGTACGCAGTTGATCATTTGGTCATTGTCATGGACTATAAAATTCTCAAAGCATCTATAATACCGTCATTTTTCTTAACAGCTATTCCTTTATTCAGCAGGTACTATGAAGTGGATATTCTATCCATGAAAATCATTCTACTAATCGATCACTTGAAAAAAAAGATGCTCATGATATGACTATATACGAAAAAATTCAGCAACAATGATGTTTGGGGATGAATACTGAACTAGACGCCTTCCTGAAACACATCAACAGCATACAATTTTCCATCATTTTCACAATGGAAAAGTAAGTCCACAACGAATTGCCATTCTTAGTGAATTGCCATTCTTGGTGAAGAAGACAGACACTAAGAGGGAAACATTTGTTTACTGAAAACCCAGTCACACCATCAATCAACTGAAAGAGGAATCATCAAGGCTCTGTTAGACCATGCTTTCGGACTCGGTAATACGAAGAAAGCTTTCTAGAAGGAACTAGACATATCAAAAATGATTTTCAATGGAATGGCTACTCCAAAGGATTGGGTCCAAGAACAACATCAGAACCTGCTCCAGATTCGGAAACACTATCAGTAGCAGCCCCATTTAAACCAGGTCACCAAACGCGTGCAGCGATTCCAAGAATTGCATTTACTGGATACCTTGTGTGTGCCTTTATTAGTGAAACTAAGAGTCCATTGGATGTTCGCATTGCCGAGCACAAGAAACACACACAGCGAGGGGAAATCAGAAATAGCAGAGCATGTTTGACCCATCAACATAACATCGAGTGGTGTCAAGCTGAGATCATACAGAGGAAGGAACATTGGTTTAGGAGGAAACCATCATACCTGTTACTTCCTGGTGTAGACGAGGGCAATTGTCATATAATCATTTCAAGGACTACAGACCTGCAGAAACCACCGGAAGCGCATTAACTGTATAAAACTCTTTTGGTTTTCAGGCTCTGGAGTTTCAAAAAGCAGACTTGCTAACTGAGTCATCTGAATAATTTAGGAAAACCGAACTTTTGCTTGGATTCTGTAAAAAACCTGTAGGTAATGGACTGACAGAAAACAACAACTCCCCTAGTTAATACCACGAAGTGCGCTGGATAATATCCGACAGGTGTCAGTGCAGGCTTCTTCACAGTAGCATTCCTGCATATGATGTTGGTGGTACAACTGCCGAAATAGATTTCCAACGGTTTAGGCTTATTTGGCCTCTCGGCGTGCAAAGTAGTGTCCATCATCTATATGGATTCGATGATTTCCCATGATCAAAAATTTAATTTCTTCCAGAGTATCATTTCTCATACTAGGCTGAAGCGTACGACAAACAACATATTCGCCATCGCTCCATCTACCCGTTAACGAGGTACTAACCAACCGTATATCCAAATCGCCCAATTTCTCGTATAACGAAAAAAATCTTCGCATATAATATGGGGCGTACTTGGAGACTGGCTGTAAATCAAATTAACTATATGAAGATTTCGTTCAGGCCAATCTCAACTCACCTACACTGTAGGTTAATGGACTGACACCTATCAGAAATCAACCACTCGCGTGGCTAATACCGCGCAGGGTGTTGGATTATTTCCGACAGATTTCAGTGCAGGATTCTTCACTGAAGTTATATGCATATGCTGTTGGCGATACAACTGCCGTAATAGATTTTCGATTATTAGAACACACATGCAGACCGGTTTCTGGCGTTTGGCCACTCCTTCTTTGAATTCCTTTGATAGGGATTCGATTTTCAATTATGCGAAATCATCGACTTAATTTTGATGATGGACACCACCCTGCACTGACGAGAGACCGAATGTCCCGAAACCGGTTTGCTGCTGCTGATTTTACATCGCGGTCATTGAATATTTACAGTGGTCCATTGCATGTAGATGTTGTGAAAAAGTGAAAACAGAGACTATTCTTCTTTACATATTCCTAATTAAATGAGTAATCTAAAAATGATGAGCATGATATAACAGTTATAGCAGGGAGATTGTCCCAGCGACATCTGACATCGACATTTTTCGATACCGTAATATCGATGCCGTAATATCATGGATAATATCATATCATTTCACTCAGAGACTAGTACCTTGATAGATCTGCAAGGTGATTCCATAGAATTTTGTAGAACGAAAGTTCAAATGTTAAGAAATTATAGACAAATTACTGAAGACAACCATCGATTTTCTTGAACGAAAGGGATCCATCCTTCAATTTATATGTGAAACTATTCAAAATTCGACAGTATTGATATCGACAAAACAAACAAGAGACGGAATCTATGGGGTATATTCCATATATGTCATTTTCTAAAACGAAACAGTTATGACTATTTCTTATTCTGGGTTGTTTTTGTTGAAGACAGTACAGATACACACATATGACCGGCCTAGTATTACTGAGAAAATTAATGGTCTAACAGGTGCTAGATCATAGATGAAACGTTTTGGAATCTAGAATGATCTATTGGAGTTTCTTCTTCACTGAAATGAAGAATTGTATGTACCCCAAAAAAAATCACCTGGAATGAAAATATCTGTTACTGGCAAATGTTGATCCAAGACGAGCAAGCATTGCTTTTCTTATCTGAATACGACCTTCAATACTATTTTATACATAGATACTCACGAGTAAGCCTTCCTCAACCAATCTTCGTGCTATTCCTGCTCCTATTCCTGAACTAGCTCCAGTCACTACTGCAATTTTACCCCGCCATCTATCCATTGAAAGAACCATTTTTTGATGAAAGTTTTTATAGTCTTCCTAAAACTGATACAGTATCAGATTATGATTTTGTGAAAACATAATTTGGACATAGTACAATTTGACGGGGGTAACCTCCATGTTTGAACAAATTCAACCATGATGGGATAGATTGTCATAAAGATCAAAACAAACACTTCTGACCATGTAGTAATTTGCAAACTTTTGATTGGTCGCAAAAAATTATTTCTTACGAGTGGTTATTCTTTTGCGACCACAGTCCACTATATCCATATCTTTTGACATATTTGATTGCCTTGGTGTTATGAAACTTCTTCCTGACGTTGATCCCGACGCATGGATAGCTTCTCCAACATATGCATGAACGTCTGTCCCATAGAATTCAATATCCAGCGTGGTATTAGCCGGGGAAGTATTTGTTTCCCGGCAGGCATTTACCATAACCTACTGTGTAGGTAGTTGAGAGAGATGCATGTTTTGAGATTCCTTTTATTTCTTATATTTATTTCCTTTATATGTATGTATCTCTCCTCAACACAGTCCTCAGACACGTTTTAATAAAAAAATGATTCACCCGGTAATCAGATCAAGGGAGGACTCATTTTTTTGGATCTTGTGAATCATGACGCATTATAAACAGGAATGAAACAGAAAACTGGTTAACAGATAACAGATAGGAATTCTGCTTATCGTGTGGCAACTTGAATGTATCGATATCTTGGTAACGGTAACAGATAAAATGCTTGTAGTATTCAGAAGTGCCATCATCGTTTTTAAAAATTCCGCCGATGAACTCGTACCAGTATTTTGTAAACTTTCCAACCTGTTTTAGTATGTTTTTCTTCTTGTTGAAAGATTCCCCGCGTTCATCCTATTCCCAAAAAAGGCAAGTAGAATCTTCGGAATGAATATGAACCAGTCGCTTTGCTACCACTCATATAAAAAATCATGGAGAAAGCTGGTGTCCCCAAAGAATCCATACTGTGTCCAACCCTCTTTTTATTGTATATCAACGACTTCACCGGCAGCAGGAGGTTGCATATTTTAATGAAGGTCTAGAGATAATTTCGAATTGAATTAAAATGAACCAGGTTTGTTGGGAATTGCAATGGACACCCATATGACTTGGCACACTCATGTCTCTGGAATTGCGAAGGCTACTTCTCAAAAGCGTGAAAACTGTACACACTTCAGCCACTTTTGATGCTTTATAAAGCTCAGATGAGACCTTCTTCGGAGTATTGTTCTCATGTATGGAGCTCCGCCCCTAAGCATACCCTGAAGCTGCTGGATTCCATCCTGAAAAGAACCTTCTGCCTGACTGGAGACATTTGCAACCTTGACAGTCTGAAACATCAAAAAAGGTTGGAAATTTGTTCCCTCTTTCATAGATATTTTCACGGAAGGTATTCAAGTGACTTGGCACATTTGATTCCACCAAGAGCGGTTCATAGAAATACTCAACGGACTGTGGCTGCTCATCGTTTTAAGGTTCAACGCAGTACACCTCAAACTGCACTATTTGAGGACTCTTTCATTTGGAAAACTGCGTTTATGTGGAATAAGCGTTTTCCCAATCTTATGTAATCTCCAGCGATTCAAATCCAACGTGAATCGCTACTTTCGCACAGGCACCGCTTTCAGAACGCCCTAAGGATTTTTCTGTAGTGCTTGTGTTTCTCCTTTGAAAAAAAAAGGCGTAAAACCGGCGAAACAGAATTTGAAAAACGTTTTAGGACATTAGAACTTATTACAAAAGTGAAAACTGATACATTTCTAGTAATATTGAAAATACTTGTATTTTTGCAAAACCACAACTACATAAACAGTGTCAATTGATATATCGATATCGCAATAAAAAACAATAATCACTGACTCGGAAATAATTGTCCCTCTTTCTCTAAATGAACTGATACATTATGCGCAGGCTCGACAAATATTTTGATTCTCATTTCAGAGAAACTATTAATATCCTTCACTGGACAGGTATAAAAACAAAAAATAATACTTACCTTTGTTGTTACGGTTCTTTAACACTTTCTTGGCAAACTCTTCACTTCGATTGAGAATTCTTAATCAACAAAATGCACTGGAAGTATAACCTGTTTCAAGTTCGAGTGAATCTGGAACCAGTTTTAATCGCGGGTCGATGGTCCAAGTAAACAGTGTGAAATGTAACTGATTATTCATTTAAATTTGTGATTTACGATTGTTATTCAAGTGAATGCGCGATAAGAACTGCTTGTTAAACCTTCGAAGAAGAACAAACAAAACAACTATGCGAAAAACTATTTTTATCCACACACACACACACCTTCACCTTGAATTCTCACACGCATACAGGGTTATCCAAAAGTATGCTATACAGTTGAAAATTATTCAAACCAAAAATTTGTACTTGATTCGTTTCTAAGGAAAACTTTCATATCAATTTTCAATTGAAGTCCGTACACTGGTGAAAAAACGTGAATTCATTCATAAAAACTCCGTTCTCAGTGAAAATTCACTGTTTGGGTACTTCGAGATGAAACAATTCTCAAAAAAATCCCTCATTAAGTAAGCGATCTTTCGTTTTATCTTATCCACTTGAGATATGGCAACTATTGATTCAGTGATAGAATCCAATTTATCAAGAATACCTTCTGAAATCCTGTCCACACCGACTAGCCTCATTTTCTACAGGGTGTAACTAAATAAGTGTAAAATATTCAAGGAGGTGATTCTTCATCGAAACAAAGATAGGATCTTTCATATAAAGAAATTTCATTGGAGCATCCCTTGTTAAGATACAGCCCCTTAAAAGGGGTACATAGAATTTGTATAACAATTTTTTTCACAAGCACTAAAAAAGTTACAATATTGAAATTAACCTGACGTTCTGTACTACCAAAAAGACACTCAGCCAGAAATCGATTTGGTTTACCCCATGGTTTTAAGGAGTGGAAAACGCAATCCCTAAAATTTATTTCCAATGTAACTTTTCGTCTTATTATTTATTCACCATTAAAAATTTTATTTCCGATAGCCTGTTTCATTCTAAACAAAAAATGTCTCTTGGGTTTTTTGCCCAAAATAAACCAGTTCGCAGCAAAAAATTATTTTAGGAACAACTACACAAATATTTATGTATTAATTGAAACCTTGAACAACATCAGAAATAAAAATACCGCTGGGTATGATGAGATTTCGGTGAAAATACTTCTGAATCTACCAGGAAATGCTTTGGAAACTTTAGTCAATCTCATTAATGCCCCCTTCGAAACTGGCTCATTCCCTCCTTCTTTTAAGACTTCAATTGTTATTCCCCTACATAAAGGTGGTGATTTGCATAATCCCTCCAATCTGCGGCCTATTTCTCTAATTCCAACCTTAGCGTAAATTATTGAAAAATTAGTGAATAAACGATTGAATGATTTCTTAAATTTGCATGATATCATGATGTAATATTCTCGTTCCTTTATAAACTTTATCCACAAATTAATGTTGCTGAAGTAGCTGCCGCAATTTTCTGTGACCTTTCGAAGGCTTTTGATTGTGTTAATCATGAATTATTATTTAAAAAACTTCACCGGTATGGCTGCAGAGGGATGACGTACAATTGGTTTGAATCGTACCTCTCAGGCCGAATTAAAATGGTTAGAACATCGAAACTCTCAGAAAGCACGGCAGTCCCATCTGGTGTGCCACAGGGTTCTGTGTTGGGTCCAGTTCTGTTTTTGTTGTATATTGATGATTTGACTATGATAGATATATCTGGCAGCTTTACTCTATTCGCGGATGATACAACAATATTGTGGAAGAAAAAAAACCCAGCAGAGCTACATAAAAAGTATCATCTGATTTAGAAAAGGTGGAATATTGGTATGATGCTAATTTATTTTCCTTGAATATCTCCAAAACAAATATAATAACAGTTGAATGTCTGCTTAATGAACTGTCAATAGACAATGATATTTTGGAAAATAAATTGAACACCAAATTTCTTGGTGTCTATATTGATAATAGGCTAAAATTTGATGAACACGTCAGTAAAATCTTTTTCGGATGTTATGCAGTCAGGGTAGTTTCTAACGAGTTGGGTTTTCACACAGCAAAAACAGTTTCCTACGCTTTAATTGAATCCCAAATAAGATATGGAATACCATTATGGGGAACATACAGTGCAACCCTTGTCTCTCTCGTATTGATATTACAGAAAAGGGTAGTAAGGTGTCTGTGTAAAGTCAAACCTAGGAAATTATGCAGAAATCATTTTGCGGCCAATAAGATTTTAACCGTCGTTGCACTGTTCATTCTTGAAACTGTATGTTTGGTGCACAAACAAAAAACGGAGTTTGACTTTGTTTCTTCTCCTTACACGTACTATTCAAGAAAGCAGTTAGAAATTTGCTAGCTGATAGACCCTATTATAGCTTGCAAGAGTATTTTAATGAATAATTTTAAAACGTGTATTCCATTTTAAATTTATTTGTATTGTATTTGTACCTGTTTTAATCATTGCCAGATTTTATCTATACACCATTAGTTATGCTTACATTTATACCTACAAATTTTTGTCGATGGGAAACAAAATCTTCTGACAATAAGTAAATAAGTTTAGCGGTCTAATTTTTTTATAACATATATATCATTAGGAATCAATATAAATGAAATTCCACTCACCTGAGGTATCTCAGAATTATCCATTTCAGAATAAGCTTGATGCTGAGTTTCTTATTCTTTTCAATATATGAGTACAAATTACTGGATAAGACCCATGCTGAAATAACGAAGTTAGTTTGAACTATATGCAATCCAAAGTTCAGACCAAATTTCCTGTAGCCGGTTCTGTAGAACTGAAAAATATATATGTTGAGGGTTGTATATTGAAGTGGAGAAGTTGAAAAGTATGACTAGTCTTCCAAAAAGCATTCCTCCACGATACAAAGAAAAAATTCAAAACATGACTGTATAAAATGGTACATTTTTTCATCTAACATCGATCTGCGCAAGTGAATACACAATAAAATTAATTTATCTATAGATGGAAATCACTAAACAAAGCACAGGTAGAAAATATTGCGAAATAGAGTGATTTCAGGAGCACAACAAACCGAATTTTGACAGAAAACATCATTTTAAATACTGAGAAGAAGTCGTAGATATGAGGAATCTACTGGGACTTGAGGAAGAACTTACTTTTAGCAAATATGTGACAATTGAAGGGGTTATAACATTCAGAGACGACTGATTTCAATACTTCATGTTGTGTTTCACTTTTTGTAATTTGTGAATTACCTTTCAAGTTCATCAATTATTGCTTGTGGGTACATTGTGTTAAATGAATGAATAAATAGATATTTAGTACGTCTCATGTACTTCATAATTAACACATTAAAAATTTGTTATGTAGCACTTTATTTCCTTTGGTAAATACACTTTTCAGAGATGGTCATTGAGATGTTTTGGAGACACAATATCCAATTTTCGAAGATATATTGTTGAAGAGGGGTCAAAACGATTCCACTTCAACTCGACGTTTCCTTACATTCAATTGAAAGTTATAAATGTAATGGAAGTTAACTTGGAAAATGTGTCTTAAAATATAATAAGTTAATATTTTTTTCGTCTATTGCTTCAGGTTCTCAAACTCTTGACTGTGGAATGATAAATTTGTTATTTGTTATAAAAAACTAAACCGTTTTTTCATATTCAAACTAACCATAATACACTCTAATCAAATGAACTAGTTGTGACTTGTTATCTCCCATCAATAGCATACTGGTTGAAAATTCCAATTATTATAAGACATAAAGTTGAATCTTCTGTACCTAATATTCATTTTCTATTACTTACCGTTTCTATCCAACCAACGTCAGAAGTAAACGAAAAGAGGCAGTTAAAAACCGTGTGTCCCAGTATTACTATTATCATGTTATATGTTCTGATGCCTTGCAGACCTTTAAGCCTCTGATAATCCTCGTTTTTGACAGGAGCCCTGAGATCTTCCCAGTTGCTGAGTAGAGACAGGGATTTGATATAAGTCCAAGCTGAAATAGATATAAAATGATCCAAAAACAGAAATTTACGACAGTTGGACACTACTGGTGAAAATAATTTATAGGAGAAAACAAATGTTTGACCTTTTTTCGATGTTTTAAAATATATTTTATTTTTTGAACTAGAAACAGAGGTGTTGGAAGTTACAAATATTCTTCACATGAATTATTTCTGCACAACAAAAAATTATGATTATAGAAAATGGTGTATTCCTTCTTATAACATATAAAGATCATCTCAAAGATCAGATGTTTGAATTCATCACTTCTTACAATATCATAACTAGCGTTCAGTCTGGGTTTCGTTCTCAACATAGCACGACTTCCGCACTCCTCTCCATAACGGATGATATTTTCAAAGCAACCGATGAAAATTATGTTACATGTCTAGTTTTATTGGACTTTAGTTATAAGCATTAGCCTTCGAATTCAGAAAGAAATTCTGTAATATCTAGCAAAAGTTATGTATATTAGTATATATTCTAGCTTCGGGAATAGATGGATGACTTTTGATTCAGAATTTCAAATGACGGTCCTGTGCTTCATACCCCCTCTTCGTGCAGGGGGCCAGAATAATCACGGCATTAGCGAGGGGGGTTCAGGGGGTGACAAATAATTAAAAATAAGTCTAGTTGTTACACTGGTGAGCCCAACTGAAGTATTGATTTACTGTTTCATATGGTTTTTCTCAATTAAAATTCGATTTTATTTAATTGAAATCACAATGGTAATGAAAAACTCTTTCTAGAGGAACTGACGTCATATGAAGAATCAGTGATACTGAAAGGGAAAAAATGGTGTATATTCCGAGATGAATTTTATGATTTTATGTCTTCAAAACCTTCAATGGTTTCATAATCCACTTCGAGCTGCTAAGGAACATTTATCACGCGAAAAATAATGAGTGCTTTCAGCAGAATTTTCAATTCTGTCACATTCAGTCACTTTGTTTGCTCACCGTTGAATTCTACTGTGTCACTGGAGACATACGAGAGTTGTCTTTTATCTTTCGGGAATTTGCAACCTTAGTGTTGCTATCTGGCAACTGACAGATCTATCGTGAAGTTGGACATTTTTGAGCTTATACGTACTCAGAACGTTTTGACATACGCGCGCTATTTGTGTTGTTTATATAAACATGAAAGATTCATCTTGGCCCAAAAATGAAATTAAATCGTAAACATTTTCGTGCGATTGTTTTTTACAACTTTCGACGTGAATTAACTCGGCAACAGTGCATAGATGAACTTAATTCAATTTTTGGCGATCAAGGACCAGTTTGTTTATCGATGGTATGATGAACTCAATCGTGGTCGTAGTTCACTCCAAAACGAATTTCGTGAAGGCCTTCAAAAATCAGTTGTTGTTTCGAAAACCATTGATGCTGTGTCCGAACTGATATTGCAATATCGTCATGTGACCTATCGTGAGATTGAGACAACCTTAGGCATTGATGGGACCAGCATACTTTCAATATTGCATAAACATTTGACTGACAAAAAGTTTGTCCCACAAAATTTGTCAATCGGTCAAAAAAAGCTGGTGTCGATTGGTAGAAGGAAATGCTCAAAAAATACAATCGCGGTGCTTCAAAACACGTCTATGACATCGTAACAGGTGATGAATCGTAGATTTATGTATATGAGCCCGAAAGTAAACATCAGTCGACTGTATGGGTGTTTCAAGATGAACCAAATCCAACAAAATTTGAACAATCGCGCACGAAGCACTTCCAAGCAAATGGTCGCCTGTTTTTTTGGAAAAACTGGACTTGTCGCAACCGTACCACTAGAACAACGCAGAACAGTCAATTCTGAGTGGTACACTGTTAAAATATGTATCTAAACAGATGATGTACAAAAACGAATCTCGGTTCCCAGAAAGCTGGCCTGATAAGTGTCAAGGGAAACGAATAAAACTGAAGGGTCTTACTTATTTATGACCATGTTTATTTAGGATAATGATTGTGCATTCCTACGTGCGCCATAATCTTATATTAATGGATTTTAACAATGCCCTCGAATAGGTCTGGGGTGTGAAGATAAAAATATATCTAGTCAGTCGTTCTTATGTGTCTAAAGTAGAAGCACTGAAATATACTCTAGTGTTCTCCTATTAATTGTGTTTTATTCAACCACTGATGAACTGTCTAATAATTCAATATACATAATCATTTGTTTGCCAGTTGTCTTCCAAGAAATCAGGAAAATCAACCGCCGAAGACGGATCACTCTTCACCACGACAATGCGAGCTCTCACACATCGGCTCAAATAACTGCATTTTTTAGCACCCAAAACATCGATCTGATGAATCATCCGCCGTTTAGTCCTGACTTGGCACCAAATGACTTTTTTTTATTCCCGCACATAAAAAACAAACTGAGAGGACAAAGTTTTTCGACACCTGAAGAAGCGGTTGCTGCATTCAGAATGCATGTTTTGGAGATACGTCAATTAGAGTGGTAAAAGTGCTTCGACAATTGATTTAAACGAATGCAGAAGTGTATAGATCTTCATGGGGAATATTTTGAAAAAAAATATAAAGTTATTTCCGATGATTTATATTTGTTTTTGTTCTCTAATCTCGAAATATAAAAGACAACCCTTGTATTTTTGAATATAATAAATAGGGTTGAACACTGTTATACGTGAGTATGAGGCTTTGAATATTTGAAAATGGTATCCAAGTGTTCCAACCGGAGGATTTCTCACAACCGTTGGTCGATGTCTTATTGAACTTCCCGAATGTCGTCCAACACACACAATGAAGCGAAGCAAAGGATAGATAAAAAGGAATATTGAGAAAAATGCTTTTTTGTGAAAAAAATCGAAGTATTTCAACGACAAATTACTGATAAAAAGAACATTTTCCTTTGTGAAAAACATTTCCATAACTTTATGAACTTCTCCATCACAGTTTTCAAATTTTTCAGCTCGTAAAATCACCAATAAAGATCGAAAAAAAACAAATATGGCACTTGCCATCTATCTGATATTTTCTAGGATAGCAAATGATATATCATCATGGAAACTCCTGATCAGAGGACTGTATTGATTTTCACAAGCAAAACATTGCGATCATTTTACATACCTTCACCAAAATTACCAACTCTGAACACTGCATCACACAAGGTAGCCGCAGCTATTATACCAAACCAAGCTAGTGTAGAGTATCTAGAAAAATTTTAAAAATCATCAATTTTCTCACAATATTTTGAAATTAGTGATACTTTTGAAAATAGGTTTGCTGAAAGTAGACTACATTTCTGCTATGATTATTTATTATAAATTACTAATAACTTTCTACCGACTGATGTGGAATATCCCTCAATTCCCTCAAGAAGTTTTTTGATTCAAACAAAGTGATATACAACAGCACTGTAATGCAATAAATGCATGCCTTTTCAATAGTTTCTAGATTGCAAAGCATTAATTCGATCTCTGAAAAATAATTGCAAGAGTACCATTTCAAAATCGAATCAGTTTTGTTGAAATATCTCCAAATTAAGAGACTTCCATAATAGAAATGAATGATATCAGAGAGAAAGTATCAAAAGTACCACTTCTTGATTCTTGATGAATAGCAAAATATAATACTCACAGTACACTGTAATCAAAGGTTGTGAGCTTTTTTGGTTCCGAATAGTTCTTACAATCAATTGTGTTCAGCCGAGCATTCAGCGAATAGTTACTTAGTAGACTATTTTCTCTGAAAGTTGCATTTCCGATCAGCTCTTCTTTTCTTTTGACAAGGTCTCTGGGGAAACATCGAAGTCGATTCACCACATCGCGATTGAAGGCATTTGGGTTTTCTTTCGATTTCTGAAAAAGTTATAAAAAGTTATAAAGTTAAAAGTTTCAATATGATTATAGTTGGTCAGATGGAACAAGAAGTTATCGTCATATTAAAAAGCGTTTTGTATGACATATAAAAACAAAATAGGAATTCAGTGCTTCCATCAGTCAAACGAGCAGATGGTATTACAGCAGAACTATGATAAAGAGAATTCTCAGAAAAAACACCTCCTAACAGCCCCATCAGCACTGAATTGTTTCCCAGATAGCATTCTCTTGGGGTCTGGGAACGAGAAAAAGTCGCTTGGGGGCAGATCTGGAGAATAAACATAAACCCAGGTATCGGTTTTCTCCAAGAAAATAAATGTCTCCGAACCGCATATAATAATGTCAGGTCAGACAATTCCACTGTCTGCTTCAATAAGTTTGTTGGGGGTTCGGTTAGGTTAGGTTAGGTCTGGAGTGAATGGGTCTATTCGACCCTTTGCCGCAACCCGCAAGGGTTTATTGTGGCTCAAACCTATTCACACTCGACCAAATAAATCCAGCTCCTTATTGAAGCAGATTAGTTTGTTTGGTAAGTGCTCTTTTAGGTTAGATGGTGAGAGAACGGCTCTGCCAAACTCTAAAAACGTGATTCGATCCCCAGCGGGGCAGGCACAAAGTATAATAATGATAATAATAATAATACTCGTCTTTATTGTTTCCCAGCTGTAGTTATATACAAAAATTTAAATAAATTACAGATCTAGTTGCTGACATAACAAAAGGCGAAAGTTCAACTCAGTTAGCACAAGTGCTACTGAGTTGTTCTTCCACTCAACCCAAAAAAGATTCCACCTGAGCTGAGACAAAAAGAAAGTCATGCACAAAAAAAATGGGATTGTTCAAATATCTATTAAGATGCTGAAGAAGACGTCCATTACTGAGACTTATTCTGGTATCATAATGATGAAAAATGTATATGGTTGGGCAGTTTATACTTAAAGTTGGCTTTCGAACAGAAGGAGTTTGAATATTTTCCGTGAAACAGAAAGTTCCGAATTTATTATTTCTTTTGGTAACAGGTTTTTCACTTGGCATATATAGCTAAAAGAGCGCTCGAGAAAATTAGTTTTAAAACTAGGTGGGGTAAGAGTACCCTTAAATCTGATGTTCAGATTGTGAACATCAGTACGAAAAGTGATTTTTCTGTACAGATAAGGCGGAGTTTTGGTTTGTATAATTTTGTTATATAAATTAGAAGCATTCAATATCTGTCTATTTTCCATTTTGATCCACCCCGTATCCCGTTAATTATGGGATATTCTTTGATATTTCCTAATTCCTTGAATGAGCCGTAGACACGAGTTTTGTACTTTCTGTATTTTCTGAGCATACTGTTTGGTTAAACATGGACCATATAAAGTATCCGAGTAGTTGAAGCGCGACAAAACCAGTGCATCACAGAGAGTTGTTTTCGTCTGCTTAGTGAGTATGTTTCTGTGTCCATGAATAAGTTTCAACGAAGAATATGCCAGTTGTATTTGTTTGTTTATATGTTTTTCAAAACGCAAGTCAGAGTCGATTATAACTCCAAGATTTTTGCATTCATTTATGGGTTATTGAGGAACATTATCAATCGTGATTGTGAAATATTCACTTGTTTTCTACCGATTCTTTTTTGATCTGAAAAGGATGATGTTCGATTTAGTGGCATTTAGTAGTAGACTGTGATCTCTTCCAAGATATGACACACACTGTCTTCCGACAGTCCGAGTCTCTGCATATGATGATTCGAATGACAGTGTTCTTTAAGAAAGCCTATTGAACATCGTAGTTCATCCATACTGTAGTCCAACAACTGTTCGGTATCAAGTTCCGAAGGGTGAATAAACGCCTTGGATTGAGCCAATCCTGGAAGATTCTGCCAGACGTCCATAAATCTTCTTGTCATCCAGGTGTTCAATCTTTATTGAACAAAACCTAAAGCGATGGCAATGACAGGTTCTGGTCCGATGAAGCTGCTTGCAGCACCCTCCTTTGCAAGGGAGTCAGCAGCCTCATTGCTTTCCAGGCCAGTATGGCCAGGAATCCAGACCAGAGACAATCTGTTGAGTCTTCCTATCGAAGAGAGTCGTTTTCGGCAGTTTGCTACCAATTTAGACGTTGCTCGGTAAAAGTCGAGTATGAGCCATGTATGAGGTTGGATTCTTCCCATTTCTCTGCACACAATTCAATAGCGTAAATTTTTACTTGAAATACAGTCACATAGGTTCCTAGGCTGGTAGATATCTCTGTCCTGGGTCTGCGACTAGAAACACTTGCACCAGAACCGGAAGGTGTTTTTGATCCATCTTTGAATCAACAACTATCTGCTCTTGATATTTTCTTCTCCAGGAGGATCCAGTACTCTCTTCTCGGGAACAGTACTTCATGAGGCAGTTCGTAGTTGATAGTTGGAGGCATGAAGTCAGAGGTCATTACCAAAATCCTGTGACTTCCAATGTCAACGAACAGTCTGTTACACTCTGCATTGTTGAGGAATTGCATGTCGCTGGAATTGCAAATGCTGCTTCTCAAAAGCTTGGAACACTGTTCCGAACCAGAAAACCGTATACGCCGCAGAAACTTTTGTAGCTTCATAAAGCTCAGATCAGACCTTCTTTGGGGTATTGTTCTCATGTTTGGAGCTCTGCCCCCAAACATACCCTGAAGTTGCTGGATTCCATCCAGAAAAGAACCATCCGCCTGATTGGAGACACGAACATCACATGCAACCTTGATAGCCTGTAACATCTACGAAAGGTTGGAGATTTGTCTCTCTTCTATAGATGCTTTCACAGGGGGTGTTGAAGTGACATGGCACATTCGATTCCACCAAGAGCAGTACATATCAGAAATATGCGACGAACTGTGACTGCTCATTGTTTCAAGGTATAACTCAGTACACCTCGAACTTCACTGTTTGAGAACTATTTCATTTGGAGAACTGTGTTGATGTGGGATAAACTTCCTGAGAAGGTTTTTTTCAAATGGATTTAATCTCCAGCGATTCAAATCCAATGTGAATTGCTACTTTCGTATGGGTACCGCTCTGAGAGCGCCTTAAAGATTTTCCTGTAGTACTTGTGTTTTGTCCTTGAAAACAATACGGTTGATGCGGAAATAATAAATCCAGTTCATACAGTTTTGACATCATTTTCATTGATTTGTGACATCATGTATTGTCTTCAATAATAATAATAATAATAATGATATATTAATAGAACAGTACTTGAATTTTTTTAAGATGGACCTGTTTTTCCGCGACTCCGTCTTCAAACGCTGTAATAGAGCTATGTAATAGTCATTGTTGATATTTTTTCCTTTCCAAGATAGTCAATGAATATTATACCATGCGCATCACAAAAAAACTGATACCACAACATTGCCAGCCAACTGTTGCGTCTTTGCACGCTTTGGAGTCGGTTCATCACGTGCAGTCCACTCATATGACGACCGTTTTCATTCCGATGTGAAATGATGAAGCCATGTTTCATCCATTGTCACAAATCAACGCATAAATTCGGGTTTTTCATAGTGGAATAGCTTCAAACACTTCTCAAAATTATCAACTCGTTGTTGTTTTTGGTAGCTTGTGAGCTCGCATGGCACCCACTTTGAACAGTGCTTTCGCATATCCAAATATTCAGGCACGATATGTTCAACACATTCCTTTGCTATCTCTAGAGCCTCAGCTATCTTGATCAACTCCATTTTGGGGTCATCCAAAATTGTTCTGTAGACTTTTTTTATGTTATTGTCGGTAACAGCTTCTTTGGGGCATCCACTGCGTGCTAGATCCTCGATGCTCGTTTCATCTCGTTTGAACTCAGCAAATACCTTCTCGTATTCCAAAAACACTTTATTGTGAGATTTTCACTAAACTGTTTTACAAAAACGCAACACGTGTTTCGCCATACAATGGCTTCATCTGGCGTGTCTTTCAACTAATTCTACACATTCAATACTAAATACATGTATAGTTTATGGAGTATCTGAAATCAAAGTACCTGTAAACGAAGTACCTGAATTTTAAGTAGCTGATATTTTACCTGAGTTTCTAACGAATTAAATTACCTGCACTTATGTTTCATTTTCACATTTGAAAAAATATTCAGGTACTCCATAAACTATATATATATTCAGTATTGAATTTGTAGAATTAGTTGAAAGACACGCCAGATGAAGCCATTGTATGGCGAAACACGTGTTGCGTTTTTGTAAAACAGTTTAGTGAAAATCTCACAATAAAGTGTTTTTGGAATACGTTAGTTGTGGATTTTCATCAAGTATCGGCCGATTCCATCATATAAATAACTTCTCGACGGTTGATTTTTCTGATTTTTCCGGATAATGTTTATCAAGCCAATCCCTGGCTTCAACAGTATGTTTTTTCGCCAAAAAGCAATGCTTTATCAGCACATCAAATTCCTTTTCATCCATTTTCTTGAAACTAACAAAAGTTGCTTCACTGAAAATGTTTTATCCCACAACCTAATAATTCGACACCTGTCAAATTTATACAATGTCTTTTGAAGGTTAGGAATATCAGAAAGTCATCTGTGTGTCAGCATACCGAATATAGCAATAATAATAATGATTATAATATAATATTTATTCACGTAGGAAAGGAGAATACAGAACAATGTAATGAGAAGATAAAGGTGAATGAATGAGAACTCGATAAGTTTTTTTCACACTTGTTTCGAGAAAAAACAATGCAATAAAACTCAAAAATAGTAAACATACTGACTGGCAATTGCGGAAATATGAAAAAATCTCATGAGTGTCAAAATTGTCTGAATCTAAAAATAAATATTCACAAACCATTCGCACACACGCATATGACGTACTTATATATATTATTATAAGGTTCTATTATACAGGGTGTAACATAAGTACGTTGAAATATCAAGTAACGTATTCTTGAGACAAGTCTATATGAACTTGTGTCCGAAAATGCTTCGTTTCGAAGATACGGGTTGAAATTGAATTTTTTTGTTCGCTTTTTTGCAAATGACTCTTGTAAAAAATTTGAACGAAATTCGGTAACATCTAGAGGGCGCTGCGTACGCTGTCATTATTTATTTCAAATTGCCCTAACTTTTTTGACAGTAAACTTTTGGTACTATTCATGAAAAAACCTAATTTCCACACCTTTTCCAAGTGAAAAAGGTACAACTCCTCAACAACGCTGGAGATGATCGTTTCGTTTTCGAAATATTTTCAAAACATGGTAGGTTTTTGTCATAAGTTTTTTGCAATTTTAGTTATTTATTTAGACTTCTTCTATACTGAGCATTATCGAACTGCTTATTCAATTCGAATTGAAAAAATTTGTCGGGTTGAATTATTCATTTAGAAAGTGCTTCATTTCGGAGTTTGTAAAAAAATAATTCGGAGAAGTACTATGTTATTTATTAGGAAAATAAACATATTAAATTTGAACGAAACAACTATTATAACAACTGTTCAAAGTGACGACCCCACAACAGTAAAACAAGCTTCTGCTCTCCTCATCAAAAAATTCCGCACTCGTTGAGAAATCCCCGGAGTGTTTCTTATCGCATCATAGCTAGATGCGATCCCTCGAAATTTTCTTGTTTTCAATGGAGCTAGCATGAACTAGTGTTTTTAGGTGTCCTTAAAAGAAAAAATCGGCGGGATCGAGGTCCGGTGACCTCGGGGGCCAATGCTCAGTGCCTCCTCTTCCTATCCAACGTAGGGGATATGCTACGTCTGAAAAATTTCTTGCTATCACACGAAACTGAGCAGGAGCTCCATCGATCATAAACCAAGAGTGATTTCGGAGACCAATGGGAAAATCTTCCATAAGTTGTGTACTATGTTATTTATTAGGAAAATAAACATATTAAATTTGAACGAAACAACTATTATAACAACTGTTCAAAGTGACGACCCCACAACAGTAAAATAAGCTTCTGCTCTCCTCATCAAAAAATTCCGCACTCGTTGAAAAATCCCCGCAGTGTTTCTTATCGTTTCGCATCTAGCTATGATGCGATCCCTCGAAATTTTCTTGTTTTCAATGGGGCTAGCATGAACTAGTGTTTTTAGGTATCCTTAAAAGAAAAAATCGACGGGATCGAGGTCCGGTGACCTCGGGGGCCAATGCTCAGTGCCTCCTCTTTCTATCCATCGTAGGGGATATGCTACGTCTAAAAAATTTCTTGCTATCACACTAAACTGAGCAGGAGCTCCATCGATCATAAACCAAGAGTGATTTCGGAGACCAATGGGAATATCTTCCATAAGTTGCTCGTGAATCTCCATTTAAACGTGAGGGGAGAAAAAAGGGCCCAAAAAAATAATCCCCAATTATGCCTATCCATACATTAAAAGAGAGTCTGTCTTGGAAATGAGTTTGCGTTATCGCATGCGGGTTATCTTCCACCCAGATGTGGTTGTTATGGAAGTTCATGATACCATTTCTTGAAAAATTTGCCTTTTCTGTGAAGAGGATTTTCTATAAAATTTGCGGATCTTGTTCGCCTTTTCTTTGAAGTTATTGAGGAAATTCGATACGTGGTTGGAAATCACGTAGAGTAAGTGCCTGGACACGCTGAATATGATAGGGATATAATTGCTGTTCTTTTAAAATTCTGTAAACTGTCATGTGACTCACATTTAAAGTTTGACTAATTTTTCTTGTACTTGTTTCTGGATGTTCACTAATTTATTCGAGAACCGCCTCCTCCAATTCTACAGTTCTTGTAGTCCGTGGCCGTCCTACTGCAGAATTTGTTTCAAAGCTTCCAGATTCGGAAAGTCGCCGTTGGGGATACCTTTCCTGATAGATGCGTCTGGCCTCACTTGAATTTCCGTCAGCCAAGCCACATGCAAAAACCATATCAGCCATTTCAGCATTCGTGAAGTTGGGCATGGTACCAAAAAATCACTTTATGAACTCCAAACTGTCAATTTGTCAATTAATAGTTAAAAATGTGACAGCGAACTTCTATTTTCATAAGCAAACTTTCATAGCCTACACGATTTAATTTACTTAATTTGCAAGCGGAGAGTGACAAAAATTATTGAAATGAAATTTGGCTGTAAAGTAATATGCTGCGATATAGAAAATTGTAAATATCTCGAAAACGATCACCTCCAGCGTTGTTGAGGAGGTGTACCTTTTTTACTTGGGAAAGGTGCGGGAATTAGGTTTTTTCATGAAAAGTACCAAAAGTTCACTGTCAAAAAAGTTAGGGCAATTTGAAATAAATAATGACAGCGTACGCAGCGTTCTCTAGATAGAATAGAATAGAATAGAACTTATTGTTTCATTCAAATACATAGATATAATATATGAGCAGAGAGAATATAGCGAACCAAAATTATAGTACGTTATGATATTTTGGAATAATGATATATGTGATATAGTTTAATTTACATATATAAATATGCTTTTTGTGTACAGTAAATACAACGCACCACGATGTGTGTAATATTACAATCTGAGCAAACAAATATAACAAAACAATAATACAAATTACTACAGAGCAAGCTCGTGTGTAGCAAACAGTAATACCGTAATTTTAAATATGTCTCTACAGCTACC